AAAAAATGAATTAAAAACATTTAATATTGTATTAGTCCCAGATCAATGTAATAAAGAAGAAAAACATATTGTGTTGAATAATGTAGAAAAAATATATATAAGAGAAACAAAAAGAAATTTAAAAGTACGAATTAAAGAACATATAAATGCAATAAAATATAATATGCATAATTCTGCTGTTGCTAAACATTGTAATTTCAAAGGATGTGAAATAATGAAAAACTCAATAAAGGCAATAAAATATAAAACTAATGCTAAAAAAAGGAAATACTATGAACATATAGAAATTTTAAAAGTAAAAACAGAAAAAAAAATTAATGACAATTTAGGAGTGAAATTAGATTAAGGATAGTATGACTTTATTGATAATTATAAAAATAAATTAATAATTAAAGATGCAATAATTGATGCCATGTGATGTGTGTAAATATACAAATTAGTTGTAGTGCTCTAGCAGTAGTAGTATGCAGCATTAATGCTATGTTTCAGTATTGTCATAAGAGTTCCAGTCAGTTCAACCAATATGACCATCACTTTACATTTATAATACTTTAATTATGGAAATAGTAATTTTGGTAAATTTTATTAATGTTCCAAGGCTAAGAAGTGATGATTGTGAAACAATTGTATTCATGAGACATCACCTGTGATGATTGTGAAGTCGTCTTGTTTACAACAGTCTTTTAAATGTACTTTATATTTCTGCAGATAAGACAATAGTTGAATCATAAATAAAGGCCCCCAAAATCTGGGGTCATCTTATAGGACAGATACAAAAGAAAATAGATTGAAATTTATATAAATTAAAACCATTATAAAAAAAACGGACAAATCATAATTATTTACTAGTGGATACGAGAGTAGGGTGTCCACAAAATAGAATAGCCTATATGATGTTTTTGTGAATAGTCAAGGTGATTGATTACCTAAATGCCCAAATCAGTGCAAATGTTTGCAACAATTACAAGGCAGTACTGCCAGATGCAAGAAAATAAAATTTGTTAATTCGAAAAATTACAAATAGGACATAATTTCATATATGCTATACAATATTATTAGCCAGATGATGATTTCTGATCTAAACTAAATTCATAGGCTGTTGATAGTTTGGGGGTTGTCTTATAGGACAGATATATTCTAAAACTATAAAACTTAGACAAAAATTTATACCTTGTCTTATCTGCGGAAATATATGGTATTTATAATTTATTTTTATAATTTTATATATATGAACACCAATTGAAGAGGGACTGTTTATTATGTCTGAAATGCATTTGAGTGTTCTATATTATGTATGATACATGTTTATTGTAAATTTTTATTATTAAGGTGTTAATAATCATTAAAGAATTTGTTAATCAATCTCATTCACTGGTGTGATAAGCCCATATGTATATATGTACAGTCGACCTCCCTATAACACAGTAGATACGTTCTAGTTTTTATGAATCCATTTTCTACGAGTCCAGCCAATCATAGCTATGCAGTTTACAGACTATGGCTGTTTGAAAGGTTTCTTCCATAAATTTAATTGATTCTAGACTAATTCGACTCAACATTTCCAAAATACATATAATTTTTTGGGAATAATCCATATAAACTATGCTATAAACAAAAAATTGTAGGATTACTTGCCGAGTGTGCACTGTTCGACTACGCCAGTGCTTAAGCTTGTTTTCGTCATGGAGCTTGTCATTGAATGGTGGGCGCGTGTTTCCCGATAAGTTATTAAGTAAGTTATTTTTCAGCGAAAAATTCGCTGAAATTTGGAGACATTATTAATATAAATATAATTTTTATGGCTGTTAAATAATAAATGGTTTTTAGTAGATTTGCTGCTCGTTTAAACTCAACAGTTTGTACAATATCCACTATTGGCCTAGATTTGACCAATCCTGTCGCGACACGAGTTGGCGATGATGTTTTACCGAATTATACGAGTTTTTTTTAGCATGTTTGTACGAATACTGTCGCAATTTTTTCGCCGTGATATAGGAATCCGAACTATAGGAACCCGTGTTATAGGGGGGTCGACTGTATGCTGTATTGGAAGTGCTCTGGTAGAACTTTTAATATGAGGGATAATGGCAACAATTNAAAAAAAAAAAAAAAAAAAAAAAAAAAAAAAAAAAAAAAAAAAGTCAACTCATTGTGTGTTTGGAGTTAACCCTCCATTAAAAATCTCCTAAGTACAGCATAGAGTGTTGATAAAACATGATAATGTGAAAAATGTATCTGTAATCTCTATCTACAATTCAGTCTCTATGGGGTGACACCACAATGAGATCTCGCACCACCTCAAAGTCTTCCTAGGCACTCTCTGGTTCGGCCCGTGGAAAAAGTTTTCTTTCCAATCTGGCCCGGGGACAAAAACTGTTGGCCACCCCTGGTATAACCCAATGGATCTCAAGTAGTGTGCTACAAAATTTCAAAAAAATTATTGTTAAATGTATATTTTTTAATATTATTTGAAATAGGTTCCAACAAATATGTCCAGGCTGACAACTCAATTTATTTATTCTCATCATCCATTAGATATTACAATACATTCACCTGCTAGAGAAACAGTTACATTTTTTACCTTACCTCCTGGTGATTTTATTATTATGCCATGTACAAACTCACCAAATTGTGAAACAAAATTTTTATTGCGGATTTTGATGGATGAACATTGTACAATATGGTAATATGAAATATTTAATTTTTAACTTTAAAGGATTATAAAATGCTATAAATTTAAAAAGTATATACAGTGACTTCTTAATTTATGCAAGAGTTGTGTTTCAGAGCATTATAAGCAATTTAACTTCATGCCTGATGTAAATATTCACCAAAAATGAAGTAATAGACCTTTGAGAGTAACTTTCATATTCTGACTAAGTTATCTGGATTGAGAATTAAATAAAACTAAGTAGAAAAGTAAAAAAGTTATGCATTTTCAATACATAACCAATCAGCAATACAGTATTCAACAAAACAAAATGAGAAAATGGCAAGCTATGAGACTGATATATTTACCTAGTGCTTTCTATAGGAATCAGCAGGTAAATACGGTTGTCACATGTTATTTTAAATTATGCAAATATAAAACATGCTTAACTTAAGAAATCATTGTATATAAGTTTATTTAATCATTAAATAAACAGGTAAAAGGTGTGTTAAATTTTACAAAAAAAAATTAAATTAAAATATTTCTTTTATTTTTATTTTCTTAACATAAAACAGATAATAGACTAACATAATGAATTTATTTTTGTTACAGCTAATTTTTAATTTAAGAGATATATTATGTGTATATCATTTAAACTAAAGTTGGTATTATATTACTATATATTGTATTGTGGTGTTCGTGTGATTGAAATAGTACGATCCACGAATAAAACACACAGAAAGGAATGTTGTGACAGTTACAATAATAAACACTTTCCTTTATTTCAATATGAACAGGTTTGGTTTTATCAGGGATCCCAACTGATGTATGAAATCTTTACAATGCGAGGGGTATCAACAGAAAATCTTTCGGTTTTACAATAATTCACGGTATGACGTCCTCCTAGCGCATAACAATTAATATTTTATATTCGCATAACTAAATATAACTTAATTCTAACTTAAGGCTAACTTAATACTAAGGAAATGACAAGGAATACAGGACAGCGGGAAGGTAAAAGAAAGAAAGAGATAACTTCACCCGGGCCTTTCCTTTTATGTTCTGATGTCTCTGTGCTTTGGGTAGGATTTTCTCTTAACAACGATGGCTCTCGCTTCCACTATGTTCTTGACTCTCCTTACTTTCCGGAAGGTCTTCAACACGCTAGTCTCCGGATCTCTAATTGTGGAGATTCCACTTCCTTGGGCTCTTCCCGATCTATCTCGAGGCATCCGTAGGCCTTATGATCTGACTGTGGTTCCTCCTCAGTCCGTTACTCGACTTCTCGAAGAATTCCTTTGTTCTTCACCACGAAGTCACGTTTGGAGCTCCCTTCGACACGTCTAGCTCTCTCCATGTCTCATTCAATACTGTCTTCCTCTCTGTTGCTATTTTTCCACCGTCCCTCCTACAACTATAGTTCTTTCCGATTCTCAGAACGGCTAATCCTACACGCTATTGTTCTTTCCGATTCTCAGAACGGCTAATACCACCCAAAGGCTATAACTGTCAATTGGAAGGTTCTAGAAGGAACAGATAAAGGAAATAGAAGAAATAGAGAAAGAAGATTGGAATTATAACTATATACAATTAAAATACATATGTCGATATGGCCAACGGCCACAGTATTATGGGAACTATTCCATTAACTGGACACCAGTCATTTTTATTACTATTTTTAGCGAAATTGTTATTTTATTTCGTAATTCAAACATATTTAAAATTATAATGAAATAATGAACAATTAACAAAGGAATAAACTTACAATTAATTTTATATTTTGAGTATGACAACAAGTTTCAGGGTCTACAAAGTTTATACCTGTAGTTTATTTGCAAATGTTTGTATCCGTCTTCTAACTCAACAGTTTTGTACGATTTTTAACAATTGAAAATATTATACTACCTTCTTTCATATTATTTTGTTTTGCATCAATCAATGTTTTAGCTGAACAGTCTCGCACATTGACTGAAAAACACTTTTTCGATTCACGGCAAATTCCACCAAACACACACTGTTGCGGAAGAACATGTCCAACATTTTGTTTTCTGTGTGTAAATTGACTTCCATACACTTCAATGACTTTTGTTTGCACCACCTAATTTTACAATGATTAGAGATATTAAAAAATTGGTACAAACATAATGCATATAATTATTCCAATCAACAAATGTGCTGGGATTATTTCCTTACTAACCATGTAAGATTCCAATTTCTAGGAAAAAACAAAATATAATTTTTTCATCAGTTGACAAATGCCATATTCTAAAAAACCATTTTAAATCGAAGAATAACAAACTGACCAAAAGGAACAATTACAGTGAACGTTGAAAAAAACATTACAGAATGTATGAAGTACATCACTTTTATCAAGAAACATAATTTACATAACCACATGATGTTGAATGATGCAAAACTATGCAAAGTAGTTTGAAAATAAATTTTTAAATTTTAACTTTTAATATTATTCTAATTTAGAATTTACAACCAAATAACATAAAATAACAAGTTATATGTAAAATATACAACTAGAAGTTGAAATTTAACCTTTTTAATTATACCAATGTGAAATTATGCNTAAATTTTAACTTTTAATATTATTCTAATTTAGAATTTACAACCAAATAACATAAAATAACAAGTTATATGTAAAATATACAACTAGAAGTTGAAATTTAACCTTTTTAATTATACCAATGTGAAATTATGCTAATTGTTTTTGATATCAAATGTGTATCAACAATCACTGTTTAAATTCATAATCAACTTTTATAACTTTTATACAAACTTAAAGGAAAAGGTAAGTTTTCATTCAAATAATCTTTACATACAGTTAAAACTAAAAGACAGTAAATATTAGGATGTGAACGCAAATCAAATTTGATCGATTGACTGGTGCCCAGTTAACAGAATAGTACTGGGCGCCAGTCAGTAATATTACTGTACTGTATTATGTATATGAGGGCTAAGGTCTAAATTCTGGCCAATGCTTGAAATGGCCAGCTATTTCTAGTTTTGACTAGCTGACTTAACCAAAATTCAAAAAACACCTGGCTTGTACTTCAAATTTCAGTCTGGCTAGCCAATTCTAGTATCAACCAGAAAATTTTAGTCAGAGTAAGAAGCTTGTTTTTCCTTAAAGGGAACCTTTAAATTTCTTGAAATGTAAACTCAACACTTATAAATAGATATTCATTTAAAAATTTTTTTCATTGCTAACTTAGAGGTGTATCAAATTTATGAACACATTGTTGTATGTTTAGAGTTGATAAAAGACATACTGTACATCAACAAAATATCAGCAGATTATATCGATTATAATTCTGACACTTATTCTTGAGATGAATTCATATTAATATGTTACTTTGGGCAATACGAAAAGCTAATAAATATGAGATATTTTCTAGTTTTTATATTCATTTACAATTTTATATTTGGTATTATATGTTTTAATTACAAGTCACTAATATTAATTAAAATATAACACAAAATTGCTTTTAAATTTAATATGATAATGTGACTCAAAATTGGTGCAAATGGACAATAATAAAAACCAAGCCTAAATTAATAATAGTTTTCACTTCATTCATAAGTTAAAAGTACAGTATTTCTCTTTTATAAAAAAATAGTAAAAAGTGAATTCACAATTATTTTGCAACATTGTACTCAATATATCATTATATTGGTTTTTCATGACATTCTTCAGTTCTTTTTTACTGCTAGCCTTCTCACTAGTGGCACACAGGAGTAATTGCACCCCCTGCTACTAATATCCATTTTTTTTTTTAACAATTGAAATTTCTTTATATGTAAGTGTAAAAGTGAACCAAAACCATTCACTGCATTAATATATATTTAAATTGTATAACACACAGTTTTCTAATGTTTAGAAATGTAGTAAAATATGATTTTTTTTCCTTTCATATTCATGTGAAACTGATGACTCAAAATAGCCTCTTCAGAAACAGATGCATAATTGATTTTCTGGAAGATCAGATCTTGAAAATGAAGTAAATTTGAGAATCTTTATAGAGGTTTTTAAGCTTATTTTTGACTGTATAAGCTATCCCTAAAATATTGGCAGAGAGTTTTGTTACACCCTATATATTGCATAATGTATTGAATATCCTGAAAATTATTAATTGTTGATTTGATATTCTATATAATGAAATTAAAAAATGCTATTCTTAAATACAGGAAAGTTGTAATGTTGTTAAAATAATTTTAATGCAAAATTCTGAATTCTGAAAAATACAATTTACAAGTAAATATTTCAGGAGGGATCATTACTTAAACTGTTCTAAAGATTCATATCATCAATAATCTCAGTTTACCTAAAATATAATGATTAAACTGTTTTCAGAAAATTATTAAAAAATATAAATATACATTATGAATTAATATTTATTTGTTTATTTTTATAGGGAGGTAAATGATGACAACATAATATATCGGGATTTAAGTTTCTTCAGAGCTGAAGATTTTCAGTTAAATCAAGTAAAATAATAATAAATATTAATTTTAAATCCTGTAAAATTTTATCTTTAAATAATTTTTTAAAATTTTATTTAGAAAAGAAGAAATGTTGTTATAAAAATAATAGAAAAAGTAAATAATTTTTCATTAATTAATTTATATTAAATTAAAACATTAAATATAATTTAGTTATTTCTGTTTAGTTTCCAGATGATGTAGATTCAGTTTTACTATTAAAGATTCTGAGAACATATTGGAAATGTAAGAAACTTTTTTTTCTTAAATAAAAAAATTTGGTTATCTCTTAGCACATTACTCATCATGCTGACATGCAATACAATTCGAAGCACTGTGTTCTTTGACGGCATGTATTGTCACATTGTTTTGTAGGGGGGTTTGTAACGTCAATGCTTAAACTGTTGCAAAATGCCAATTGTGCAGTACTAAAAAAACATGATGATAATTCAAAAACGGCACATGGTGATAACTGTGGCTACATTCTTTGTAGCATTAAATTTTAATTTAAAACCTGTGTTTTAAGTTAAAGTGCATAGGTACAACTAAAAAGTCTAACTTTCTAAATGACAGGAAATGTCACAAAATAAAACTACCAAAAGAAACCATCAACTTGATAAACAACATTAAAAAAAATAATAATAAAAATTAATTCTCTACATTTTATTAAAAAGAAAAACTTAAACAAGTCTTCATCTATCATTTGAAATGGTAATGTTTTCCTTGATTTCCATACATAGCAAATTATTCCAATTATGAAGGAGTTCCAATGTAGTTTCCTTGAATTTGTTCTAATTTTTACATACATTAAACTGAATCAAATTGTTCAAATGCAATCAAAATAGAACCTAAAAAGCATACTTAGAAACAAAACAAAGTCCTTGTTATGCAATTATGCATCAAAACTGGAATAATTCACATAAATGAAAACAGTTATTTAAATAATGCAATTTATTGGTTTTATCTTCATGTAATTCATAATAAAGCATATTATGAAGACTAGAGGCCTGAATAATTCATTTAACAATTATCATAAGAAATTACTCTTAATTGATTTATTTAGATTTTATAATATAAATGAAGTATTTTTACAGGATATAAACTTTTTATTATAAGATTCTAATTTTTACAATTCTTACTGTTTAATTTGTTATTTCAGCTTTCCATTTATTAGCTGAGAAACCAGGTCTAGAACTTTGCAGAAATCTAATTATGTTGAAAGATGTATCCTTTAATAAAAATAATAATATATCTTATAGTAATAGTAAATTAATAATTCCCATCTTCATCATGATTATTTTAAATCTATTAATATAAAATTTATATTAAACTAGCAGACCCGGTATGTGTTGTTGTGGCTCAAAATGTATCTATTATAAATGTATAACACTTTTCCTAAGGGGGGGAATTTTTCGAAAAATCCCTTCTTAGTGTACAGTACATTCTGTTGACGTACCCTATTAAAATGCAATCAAAAACGCAAAAAACTGCATCTAAAATAGTACAATAGAAGCCAAGTTCTTCAGGTAAGCCTTAATTCTGTTCCTCTCCCCCACAGGGGAATATCGAAAAATCCCTTTTTAGTGTATATTCTGTTGACGTACCCTATTAAAACGCAATAAATAATGCAAAAAACCGCATCTAAAATAGTATAAATAGAATCAGAGTACTTTACGGTAAGCCTTAATTCTGTCTATCTCTCCTAAGTGGGGGGAATTTCAACATGTATATTATATAAAAACACGTACTGTACGTATTCGAATGCAGCAATGTATCAAAATTTCAAAGGAATCGGTAGGAACAAACGAACATTACATTTTTATTTATGTAGATAGATAGATAGAAGATGATCTGCTTTAGTTCATCCTCACAGAAAAGCATAATGCCTCACAGAAAAGCAAACTTAGGTCATCATACTTGTAGCGCCATCTGTTGGACATAAAAGCTTTAACCCTAGATGATATCTTTTAATTTATGTGAATGTTTAATGGAATAATATACAGCCTACGTCCACCCCGAAGTTCCATTCTAAATATTGGTGAAAGAATTTTTGAAATCGGATGAGTAGTTTCGGAGATTACCCGTTACATCCAAACTTACTTACTTAGTTACAAACATTACCTCTTTATAATATTAGTATAGATAGAAATAACAGTGTTAAAAGTAAATAGTTTTAAATGATAGTTTTACATTTAACATATCTATTACAAAGTAGTATAATCAAACTGCTGTTAAAGATCACATTGAAAATGATAATTAAATATTATAATCTTTACTTGATGCAAAAAGGATTAATTGGAAATATTTTATAATTAAATAAATAAATGAAATTTAATTGAGCTGCTAAATAACTTCGTTGTATAAAATGTTTCTAAAATGAAAAAAGAATAAAACCTAAAACTGATTTTATTAAAAAACATTGCTCTTTTATACATTTTTTCATAACAGTATATACCAGGGGTGGGCAAGCAAGAGTTCAGTGGGAGCCAAAATGTAGGTTTTACAAAATGCATGGGAGCCACAATTCTATACTTTTTTATTCTGTACCGTGATTTTATTATATAATATAAATATAATATAAAACAAATATTGAATTTTTTTAATAAACATATTTTCACAAAATTGTGGAAATAAAATTGTAAAAGTAATGATAAAAAGCAGAAATTAACACTTTCAGCAAGAGCTGAATTTGCCCAAGTCTGGTATATACTGTATATCTCAGCAGATAAGATGAGATATAAATTTTTATCGAAGTTTTATAGTTTTAGCATATATCTATCCTATAAGATGACCTCCAAACTATCAACGGCCTATGAATTTAATTTAGGTCAGCGTTCATCATCTGAATAATAATACTGTATAGTGTATACGGAATTATGTCCTATTTGTAATTTTTCGAATGAACAAATTTTATTTTCTTGCATCTGGTAGCACTGCCTTACGATTGTTGCAAACATTCACACTGATTCGGCATTCGGGTAATGATCTTGACTATTCACAAAACGTCGTATGGACTATTCTATTTTGTGCACATACCCTACTCTCTATACTATCAAATAATTAAGGTTTGTCCGTTTTTTATAATGGTTTAATTTATATAAATTTCAATCTAATTTTTTTTGTATCTGTCCTATAAGACGACCCTAGATTTTGGAGGCCTTTTTTTTTATGATTCAACTATCATCTTATCTGCCGAGATATATATACACAGTTATGAAAAAATATTTTAAAAATTGCAATTATTAAATCTGATAGAAAAATTTTTTGAATAATTAAAACATTAAATACTTCTTTAACTTTACTGCTAGCCATTAATAACAGGAAAAATATACAAAACTGATATTGTTTCTCTTTTTTCTGCAGTTCAGTTTTGGAGAGTAAGTATTTGAATAATAATAATAACCTATAAAATGTATGATTAAAATTTTAAATATCTAAGTTAGTGTTTAAGATTTACTTTCCTAGCTCTTATTAAACTGAAGTGCCAAAAAATTAGAGACAGCAGCACATACAATGGTGTTACCTTCTACCCACAGGGGAAACGCTTTGAACTGGAACATTTGCATTTGGCATCATAGGTATCATACTTATCAGTTGTGTGTTAGCTTGGTTAGAATAGCAATGGGCCATGTAAAGGATTTATTGCTATTTGATTGTAAACAGATTGTTGGAGGAAGAAGAATGGGTCACTCTATCAACAAGGTGGCCAATGCTCTTGGATTTTCTCTTGCAACAGTTTCAAGGATTTATCAGGAATACTTAAACTCCAGACAGACATCAGAACAATATGCACAGTGTGGGTGCCCATGGTTGATGCAAGATTGTGACTGCCGGTGACTAACCAAGTTAGTAACCATGCAACAAAATGCAATTTGGCATCAAATCATATCGGACTTCAACAGTGGTATTGCTGAACTCATCAGTCAATGCACTGTACAATGTACTGTACACTGCATTCCTTGGAGTTTGGTAGTCACCTACTCACTATGGTATCACTACTAACACCCAGGCGTCAGGCAATGTGTCTCATCTGAGCCAAAGAATATTGAAATTGGACAGTGTGTGACTGACGCAGTGTTATGTAGTCAGAAGAATCTTGTTATTAGCTCTTTCAAGTTGATAGTTGTGTGCTTGTGTGGGGTGATAACCACATAGAGCTATGAATGAATCATGCCAGCAAGGTGTTGTGCAAGCTGCTGGTGGTGGATCTGTCCTGGTTTGGAGTGTGTTCTATTGGCATAGAGACTAATGGTGACACTGCAGTTGACTTTGACAGGTGCAATGTATACTAATCTTGTGACAGATGTTTTGCACTTGTTTATGCTTGCTACAGTAAAAGTTTGTACCAGCGATAATGATACTCCTCACAGAGTACAGGTGTCACAACATTGGCTCAAGAATACTTGACAGATTTTCAGCTATTCCCTTGGCTGCCTCAGTCACCAGATTTGAACCCCAAAGAGTATTTATTGGACACTGTGTAAACATTACTTAATGAAGTACTATCCAACAACTATCCAACAAATGCAACTGAATTATGGAGAACCATTGAATGTGTCTGGATTGAAATACCTACGCAACAACTCAGACATCTTGTAGAGTCTATGACACATTGTTTAGCTGCTGTTATTCAGGCTCAGAGAAGAGCTACACATTATTACATAGGTGTGTCAAATTTTTTCTCACTTCAGTTTATAACAGAGGAAAAGTATGATGATTGGTCAAAAAATGATCACCCAAGATTTAAAAATTTTTGGAATCAGGACCTTGAAACATTGAGAAATGAAAAAAATTCACGTGTTTTCTCTATATATACAGTAGAGCATCGTTTATCTGAAAGTCGGTTATCTGAAAGAATTCCAGTTGGCAAATTTAAATTTTTGCTAGTGCTGTGGCGCTGCAATCTTTGGCTATGTCTTGGGCTACTCAAATATTTTATGTTTTTGATACTAAATTAACTTCAATATTTTTTATTGTTTTTATATTTTTCAATATATTTATTTTGTTTGTAGAAAATAAAGAAATAATTTTTAATGATACAATAGCCACTATTATTATTTTTAAAAGTTTACGTTAGGCTTAACATCGACGATAATTCAACACAAAGCGACATGCAATGGAGAAAAATTTTAGGATGGGATAGGTTAATATATTTTTTTGAACATAATTGGTTATCCGAAAAATAAGCTATCCAAACAACCCCAGTCTCCAATTGATTCGGATAAACGACGCTCTACTGTATAGATATTTTTTGAATATGTGTTTGTGTTTGTTTGTTTGTGTGTGGGTGGGCATGATTTTGTTCATACTCTTTGAAGCTTAATAACTCCTGGACTTTTTGTTGAAAATTTCTGAAATTTTGCAGGGAGGTTTGTGTATCATGGGAATTGATGCTATTTGAATTTTGGTGGTTAAAGGTTGATGAGATGGGGAGATAAAGAGGGGTCATGTGCCATAACTTGAGTAAGGTTGGACTTAATGACAATTTTATTTTTTATTTGCATTTACAATTTTTTATAAAACCTATCCCTATCCTCAGCTTTTTGTTATTTTATAATAATTAAAAATAGAAAAAGTTTTTTAATAATAAAATACCATAACAGATGGTGCCACATATGCAGTTTTAAATGTTGCCAAGAAAGTTAAGCAACTTGTTGCTGGATTTTTTAATGTAGTATATTACAAATACAGTAATACCCCGAACTTACGCGATAGGTGGGACCGAGCGGTAACCGCGTAAGTCGAATTCGCATAAGTTGGGGTATAATTTCGCATATAAATACATAAAAATAATTTTTAATTGGGACCGGAGACTAAAGAATACAATAATTTAAAAAAAAATGTTTAATAAAATCTTAGATAATACATATGTATAACAAATTAGGCCTATATTATTTTACAGTTTTTCACATTTACTTGATTATTACGCCATAATTTTAACATTGTTTCCATCTCAGCGATAATACTGTGACATTTACGAATGATGCTTAAATTTAAAGATTGAGCATTTTTCACAGCCTCAAGAATTTTTTCTTTGCCTTTTATAATCGTTCTGACCGACAATTTCGGTAGATCAAACTTCTTTGCCAATTCACAAATTTTCATTTTTGTGTCGAAGTCTTTAATAATGGGTACGTTCGTAAAGTCAAACGAGTTAAACGCGTTAGTAACGAATCGTTCGAAAAGTCTAACGAAATAGGAATAACGATGACGTCATTCTCGTTTAACTCGTTCGACTTTACGAACATACCCAATGTTAACTTTACATTCCAAAGATAAAGTTTTTCTTTTCTTGTTTGATGCAGAAGAATTAGTTCTACTTCGTTTGGATGACATAGTAGAGTCTCTCGAGTCTCCGTAGATATAACAAACACAGAAATAAATAACACAAAATAAATTGTAGCTATGTGTGGATTCCGCGCGACACATCCGAACATGTAAGCTGAACAATAGTGTGGGGGGAGTGAGTAATCAAGGGTTGCGTGGCGCTCAAACAAAAGTCGAATCGACGAGATTTGAAAATCGCGTAACTCCGGGTTCGCATAAGTCGGGGTATTACTGTAATAGAAAAGTAATTTGTATTTAAAGGAATTGTCCATAATTTTCAGATATGTTTAATAACTTGTAATTTTATTTGGAACAATGATGATTAAGAATTTATTTTTATATTAAAACATTTCAATATATATTTATCTATCAGTAAAATGTTTTAATATTATGCAAATAAAATTGTAGAAAGAGAATTAATAGAAGATAAGCAAGAAATCAATCAATTTTAGTTAATTTTTCAAGATAGCAATGTCAGAATTTAAATAATTGTAATAAAAAGATTTTTATATAATTAATACTTGTACTGTACATTCTAAAATGTTTAAGTACATATGAAATTTCTGAATGATTAAACCAGATTAATTTTAGGTGTAAATTTTAAGTTAACAGAAACTTTTTTGATATGTCATAAATTTAGTTTGACTAAGAAAAAATGTTCAGTTTAAAGTGATGTATCATGTTGTCTCACCAGTTATATATGTTTTCATTAATAACAATTGTAAAGGATTTACAAATGTCTTTAACACATTAAGCACCACAATAGAGAAGCATAAAATATTACATTGGGCCATGATCTTTTTTATGGACAAAATAATACAAAAATTATTGCCATTTAATATAATTTTGTCTTCATTGTTGAAAAACTTTAACTTAATTTTTTGGCATATTGCAGAATTGCAACACATACCCTAATGATTTTTTTTCTGATTGTGTTATGCCATCTTTTATGCTTATCAGGTTGTAAATTCAACAAAACTTCTACCACATAAATATATAAATTCTAGGTGGCATAAATTGACTGATACAAATCTAAGAAAAATGGAATAATCACTAAAATAATACATTTACTATTTTTGTTCACTAAAAGAAAATAAAGATTATTTCTTGAATATTTGTTTTTGTGCTTTATATTTTCATGATATTGTACTTATTCATTATGAAGAAAAACATTAGGAAAACAAATTTTGCATATTTCTCATATTTTATAAGGGAAAAAATTGAATTTCTATTAGCATTCTATCATAAAAAGGACCAAGTTCAGTTTCCATTCACACAGGCTATGCTCTAATTATTTCCATTATGTTTATATGGCTAGTATATTGCTCCAAAGTAACACAGTATAAATTTCAATTTATAGCATGGGTGAATTTCTGGACATGTTGCAAATATGCAACACACCCAGCAATTCACATATGGTCCTTAATCTGTTAAAAATTGTTATTGATATGTTATGTATTAGCATTTTGTATTTCTTATTATTTTGGTGACCTGATCTTAAATGTTGATCATAAATTCTTCCAAAAAGAATGCAAAAAAGGTCACCTTCCATTTAAGTTGTACCTGCAGCAGGTACAACTTAAATAGGAGGTGACCAAAGTAATTAGACCATTCAGAAATCCTTTTACCCTTGGATATTCATAGATTTTAGAAATCTAAAAAGTCCACAATAAACAGCATTGTGTCAATTACTGGGATGTGGACACTTTGTTGTCTGCTTGGCAGTCTATACTTGAAGTTTAATTTATTCTATAAATCTGTGTCTTGTAACAAAATTTTGTAGTTAGAATATGGAGATTTCTTATCAAATATAGACTTATAAAATTCTGGCATTGTTTTCTATTAAATACCTTGGTTTTCGTCAATAATTTGTCAATCCAAAACCAACGAAAACCAAGGCAATTATTTCCATACAAATCAATGTAAATCAAATTAATTCATTCTAGACAGTCCAAAATACATACCAAAAACACATTTTATAGAGAATTAATATAGTGTTAAATACTAAAAGCAATAAGAAATTAATATAAAAACAAACTAATCTAAAGGAAAGCAATGGAATTGTTTGGCTAGATGTGGAGAAATGTCTTATCTTATAGAAGTTAGTTGGACATGAACTTCTAGCCTATATTCTCCTGTGGTAAAGTGTGATATAATTGTCATGTAATAGTAGTTGTAATCATTTATGATGGTTGTATTGCAGGGAATAATGCCTTCCAGGAGGTCCATTTAAGGGTAAGTGGCCCCTATTCAGGCATTACAGACGTGGAGAAAACCCGGAAAACTCTACATGACCAGCCTGTCCTCGTGAAATGCAAATGCACAACCAAACTCCCAGTGTTCCGGGAACAGAAACATTGGCCAATGGTGGGCTGTCGCGAGGTAATGCTCACAGAATGAGAAATAATGTCACACTGAGCCAGAAAATGCGTGGGTCACCTTTTGTTTTCACAAAATTAGCAGCGAGGTCACTTGGGCACGCTGGCGAAATCCAAGGCAATTGATGAAAACAACATAAATTTTTCGCGAAAAAAATCGACGAAAACCGAAACTGATTATAACCGAAGTCAACAAAAACCAAGATATTACTGTATTATGACAGTATGTTTATTGAAATCTATTAAACTTCTCAAGATTGAATATTATGTTTATCTGAATTGTTTGTAATTAAAAATTGCAATCATAAACAATTTTATTTGGCAAAGAAATGTTATTGCATCTATTTAAGTATAAACAACTGTAAACTTGACAGTTATATTAAAGCCAAGCAATTGCCAGATTAGATTGGGCTTTAATATCTGGCAATCATTTGTTTAAGTCTTTATATTTGTATGATAAACAAGAAATAGTCAATCTAACAATAAAAGATTTAGAATCATATTTTTTTATTATCGTTGTTTTTCCTTGAAAATTATGGTTATTGAATCCATTATAAAATTCCAAAGGAATACATACAAACCAGAATAATATAAATGTTATTTACTTTAATAATGTTCTAACAATTTAGTTGCAATTTAAATATGCTGTTGAATCAATGCATATGTAGTTTTTATATTGAAGTTATATTATAACATATAATTAAATTTGTCTATAAAATATTATAATTGAATGAACTCTAGATATTTGAAAGTTTCTTCCTCCATGGATAATCTCTGAAGAAAAGAAACTTTCAAAATTTTAATTCCATTTTTGAGAATCTATACATTTATATATTTGTTCTTCAGTAAACCAATTTTTAAGAAAGTCTTGAAACTTGTTGACAATTAACAAGATATTATATTGAAATACTGAATGAATTACTTTTAGTTTCATTTGGTACTAATTTTGTTATTACATTCAAAAGAGTTCAATATATCTATTAAACTTCCACAAATAAATTTTATCTGTGTTGAAATAATAGTATTAAAATCCCTGCCTGTTAACTGCATTATGATTAGTATATAAAGCTTTGTGAAGCTTTTTTATTATTATTTAATTCTTATGTTACAAGATTTGTTTTATACTGTATACAAGAAAGAAGACTCATTGAATATTTCTACATTGTTGTTATTATATACTATTATTTTTCTTAATAGTAATAGTTGTTTTAAATTTTTATATCTGATTATTTGTATTTATATATTGAATTTTTATTATAAATTAGAGTTTATAAAATAAATATAAAGAACTGTTGTTAATTTTTAATTTATTTTAAAGACAGTTTTTTTGAAATTCGATTCAAGTCATAAGGAAAGAATAAGCAGCTTTCATCTTCGCTCATTACTAATGGAAGCAGGTAAATAATTACAGTGTGGTCTTATTTTATGAGGATTGCATGTAAGCAGGTATCAGTAAAATGAAATTCTATGTAAATTTGTGTGAGTAGTCCTAGATGATTGACCAAATAATTATGCAACTATTTATATTAACAGAAAATCATTTAAAATGTTTTACTTTTGTTTCTATTATAATGAATATACAGATCAGATGTTTCTGAATATAGAAATAAAATTTTATTATACTGTATTAAGTACACTACTTGAAAATAGTTCATGCAAATCACAAATTCACAACAGTGAATAATATTCAGTAGTTTTTCATGTTCTGAATATCAGAAGCTGGAAAAGCATGGTTTGCTGATTCAAAAGTCTTATTCAGTAACACTAGGAGTGTTAAGCATTGACATGGGTGTCTGCAGAAAATTTTCTAGAGAGGGTAAAGTTTGGAGACAAGTAATTATATCAATTAATTTTTATTTAATTATTTAATTTTTGGGACTTTTTAAGAGAGAAAAAATTTTAAGACAGATGATGAATTAAGGGTTAAGGTTATATACCTTAACCCTTAATGCATCATCTCATATACTTAATCACTTTTATGATCACAATTTGTGGAATTTTTACTTGATTCGAGGGAGGGAAAAGTGCTCCATTTGTTTTCCTCTTCAAATGCCCATGTTCATTGATATGGTTTCTTTTAAAGGAACATAGTGATGCAAAGTTGCTGCTTTATTCATTTTAATTCTTTACAGATAATTGTGTATAGTGTTAAAATGCAGTCAAGTATTTTCTTAAATTTCATTGAACAAATCAAATGGTTGTCATATTCATAAAAGAAGATTTCAAGACACTCACATCATACATTGTCTACATAAAATTTTTAAGTTTGAGTTTCTTCTCTTGAAGTTCTTCCTCCTCAACTTCATTCTCACCCTCAGAATTTGAGGAAGTTCTTCCAAATTGTAATCTGTTAATACTTTTGTCTGCACATCAGTTAAATCCTTAATGTCCTCCTCTTCTGTCCTTAAATTCTATATCACTGATTCTCATTACCAACTCCTTTATTTCTGCTCTTTTTATGCTTGTCTCCATCATAGATGCACTTCTTTCAGAATAAATGGTATTCATATAAATAATTTAAATACAGTTATTTTGTATACAAATAACAGTATTAAGAAATAGCAGATTTCACCCTCCTGTTATGGTTTCAGTGTTATTACATAATGTCAAAAATTTTAGATTGTTTTCTTTTACACAACTTGCATACTGTATGCATACAATTTTGTTTTTGTGCTGTGCACAATTATTTTAATTTCATCTTGATAACTTTTCAAAGACAGGCTGAAGAAAATTGCTTTTAACTTTTATACCATTATTTTTGCTTTACAATGAATTTCATAATAGTCAGGGGTTAATCTAACCATCTTAAATGTTTTTGTCATCTGTGAAAATATGGATCTGCATATATCAATCCCAGACAAAATAAGATTGCATTGTAGTAATTCAGACTTTTATAAATTATATGTTGTATTATGTAATTTTTACAAATTAATTTCAAAGATATCTGTTTGTGATTCAAATATAATGATTAGATGGTATCTGTCCAAGATATTGTCTGAAATTATAATATAATATACAGCTGAAGCTGATTTAAAAATTTTTGGAATCAGGACCTTGAAACAATAATAATAATAAAAATTAATTCTCTACATTTTATTAAAAAGAAAAACTTAAACAAGTCTTCATCTATCATTTGAAATGGTAATGTTTTCCTTGATTTCCATACATAGCAAATTATTCCAATTATGAAGGAGTTCCAATGTAGTTTCCTTGAATTTGTTCTAATTTTTACATACATTAAACTGAATCAAATTGTTCAAATGCAATCAAAATAGAACCTAAAAAGCATACTTAGAAACAAAACAAAGTCCTTGTTATGCAATTATGCATCAAAACTGGAATAATTCACATAAATGAAAACAGTTATTTAAATAATGCAATTTATTGGTTTTATCTTCATGTAATTCATAATAAAGCATATTATGAAGANCATGATAAATTAATCATATTTTTCCAAGACTTAAATCTCATAATCTCATCAAATACTTTTTCCTTTTTGTTTCAAATTTCACACAATAGAAAAATACATGTTCCCAAGTTTCATACACTTTCATGTTACAATTCCTACAAATTCTATCAAAAATATAATTTTGACCACATCTTAGTTGAAGAATTAATCGTACATTGAGACACTTGGGACACATCTTCCTCTTGTCATTAGTTGCCCTTTTCTTAATCCCCAAGGGAATTCTAAGACTTCATTTTATTTAGTTACTCATTTTTATCACAGAAAACTTTTTACTAGTGTTGCCACCTTTTCAAAATCACTGACCCAGACGACAGGTCAGGTTTGTTTGAACAGAAGTTCCTGACTCATGCGCAATGTCATTTTACAATGTGAAGAATAACGTGTATGTTGGTTCTAAATCAGTTACAGTTAGGGACTAGGGACTTGCGTAGGAGTAATGTACGTAACCTAAATTAAGAAAGAACAGGTACAGATAACTTAGCTCTATTCGAGATGTGTACGATCATACAAGGAAAAAAAAAAGGTCGGCAAGTTGCATGCCGCACGTCGGTGTAAATAGGCTAACATAGCAGAATTGCAGATGAGTTTCAGTGAGTGTGAGTTCTTTCACTGTTAAAATAGTGTAAATTTGTAAAAACTTTGTTTTGTCATAATTTCACTATTTCTACAAAATTCCCAGACAAAATTAATAGTTCACCCGGAATCAATTCTGATTCCGGGTTTGAAGAATTGATTCACTGGTTGAATCAATTCTTGGACTGTCCGGGTAAAAACCGGATGGGTGGTAACACTGCTTTTTACTGATGACAGAATTAAAATAAAAATATTTGTTATTAACTGAAAATTTGTTCTAGCAGATCCTGATTGTTCAGTCAAGTACCAACATACCACTGTATTTGATTAACTTGATTTTGATATACATCGTAGCATTGAAGGATTAATTAACTTAATTAATAACTTAATTACTGCATTAATCAAGGCATCCCTTTATTAATGCAGTTAATTAAGTTATATATACAGTAGAGCGTCGATTTTCTGAAAGTCAATCATCCAAAAGAATTCCAGTCAGCAAATTTAAATTTTCGCCAGTGCTGTGGCGCTTCAATCTTTGTCTATGTCTTGGGCTACTCAAATATTTTACGTTTTTGATACTAAATTAACATCTGAAGTATAATTTTTTATTATTTTTATATTTTTCAATATATTTATTTTGTTTGTACAAAATAAAAAAATAATTTTTTACGATACAATAGTCTTCGTTAGGCTTAACATTGACGAAAATTCAACGCAAAGTGACACGCAACGGAGAAAAATTTCAACATCGGATACGTTAAACTATTTTTTTGTACATAAATCAGTTATCCAAAATATCAGTTATACGAACAATCCCTGTCCCCAATTGATTTGGAAAATCGACGCTCTACTGTATAAATTTTATGTATGTATGATGCTCTTTTTTATAACTTGTGCACCCCCTTTTTTATAGTCTGCAGGTACCACTGTATGCAATTGTGCAATAGTACAATCTTGTGCTACATACAGATAACAAAACAGAAGATTTCCAATATATTTATATAAGTTAGATTAAATCTAAGATTTAATAAATAAAGCATTAATTTTATAAAAGAAATTTTGTTATTTAGGAATTACAGTTAGTAATAAAGTTTTGGAATGTTTAATTGTACGATTTGCCAAAAATGACTACTTTCTATTTGATACATTTTTATTGGCTCTAGTCAAGATCTATCTAGCTCATGGTAAGTTATTTTAAAAAATTTAAGTAAATTTTTATTTATGCCAACTTCTGCATAGTGAATATTGAATATGATATGAAAAGGTGTTCTTTAAATTCACATCAGTAGTTAGCCAATCACTAAAATGATTTTGATTATTATTACAAATTATATGATTGAGTTATAATAATGTTAATGAATGCAATAAATTTTGTTTAATTTTTTAATAAATATATATAAAATTTTAAAATTTAATACATTTTAAAATGAAATAAAATTCATAAAGATATAGGAATTTTCAATAGAATTTCTTTTTCTCTTCATAAATAATATAGAAAAAATTATGTGAATTATAAACATTTCACATTGGAATTGTAATTTCAATATATAGGCAGTCCTCTACTTTTGTATATTTGCATTTTCTTACACATTTTATACTTACTATTTATCAATATATATGGCAAAACTTCCCTTCTCATGAACTATTAGTCACTAGTCCTTCCCCACCTCTCTGACATTAATCATGTCCATTTTCAGCATTAAAGTTCAGTCTTGAGGTGGACGTCTTTAGTTAGCCTTCATGCATCTTGACAAATTTTTGACCATTATGGAAGAATGTGATCCCAATGGAGAGCATATATCTCATATACAAAGGGCAATAGAAAAAGACACATGTTACAGAACTCTTTACCATATTTTTGTGGAATGGTTGGCATGCTGCATAAAAAAGGAGGGAGATCAACATGATGGAAACCCTGAGGTTACAGGCATGCTGTTTAAACTGCAACTAAAATATAAAATTAATCAGATCTAACAAAACTAGTTGTTAATTAAAGATTAAAGAAAACATTCTTCAGAGTACAATAAAATAATAACATTGTAATTTGACCAACTTAAAATCAGGAAGACAATTTACAAGACAATAAAACAATTAACGACTTATTGACATTAGCAGCAGCAGTTGTTAGTGCATAACACTAACAACTGCTACACTGACAATCTACCCTGACTTTAAAAACACATTCCTCACATTTCACACAAAGCCGATTTTAACTGGTACAAGTGGAGATAATTTACAGAGAGTTTCTTAAATTTAGTATGTTTATTTTTGCATTTTTGAATCAAATAACAATAAAATATACATGAAAAAGCACTTTTGGAATTCCAGGAGTATTTTAAGTTGTTAGAAAGAAGACAAAATGAAGAAATTAAATATAATTGTAATTTTTGATGTAATGTTGACAATTTCACAGTTTTAGAATAAAAATTCTTTTGTTTTTATGTAATGTAACTTGTTTCTTTTTTTTTATGCACCCACCTTAATTAATTATCACATAAAAATAATCATATAATTTTGATGATTTTTTGACTGTTATTGACTTCTGTTTTTATCACAAATTATTTTAAAAAATCAAGAAGTGTTTTAAAATATATGGCAATTTTTTAACAGATATCTATCCTATAACTGCACTTCCCCTGGAATAAACCAGCTTGCCAGTTTTTATCATATGGAAATATCTGATTTCATGGTCTCCCTGGATAGACTAGCATGCCAGTCATTCTGCTAAAATATGGTATCAAGAAAAGAAAAAGAAGAGTACAATTCAATTATCTCTTGACGAATTTATAAAGAAAATACCAGATAAGTTGAAAACCCTTTTTGATGTTCTTTACATTGCTCTACTTTCATACACATTTTAGGAACCAATTAGGTATGAAAGTAAAGGGCCAGAGGAATTTAAGATCAACATCAACAAAACATCTGTTACTGTCATAGTAATAAGACTATTGATATATTTTTACCTTGATTAAATGAACATTGCTATCAGCAGACAATGACAAAATATTTCATATCTTTTCTAGTCTCCAAAACTTCTGCAGAGAGTATAATGGATTACATGTTATCATAAATATCATTTAAAAGATAACATGTTTGTTTTCAGTGTCATAATTCTATAGAATTTTGTCTTTAAACTTGTCAAATGAGTTTTTACACTTCCATGTTTAGATAATATTTTTGACATTATCTGCATCAAATATTAGTAGATTGATACTGACATTTCCTTCCATGATGGAAAGTAGCATTAACTAACAAAGGGAATTTTGAAGGTAAGAATAACAAAACAAGAATGAATCAAGTAAGGTGTTGGGAAAGTTACCAAACATTCTACTTTGGATGCTTAGATAGCAAAGTTGGTAATGTTGACTACCTAGCTTGTTATAGTTGCAGTTTTGAGTTCCACTGTAATCCAGATTGTTTTTCTAGATTTCTCAAAATTAATTATTAATTAATTAATAATTTGGCACTAAACACTGCTAGTGTCAAATTATGTTAATTAATTATCACATAAAAATAATCATATAATTTTGATGATTTTTTGACTGTTATTGACTTCTGTTTTTATCACAAATTATTTTAAAAAATCAAGAAGTGTTTTAAAATATATGGCAATTTTTTAACAGATATCTATCCTAAGCACATCCTAAGCCAGAGGTTCCCAACCTTTTCTACAGTACTAGTAGCCTGGGACGCCCCCTAGTGGACGTTATTTACAAATTTCCATGAGGCACGGTTCCTTTGACTTTTTTGTTCCTATCAATATGCTGTACAGCTCTGTTAAAGTCCCAATGGTAAGATTTACCCTCCGAATGAAGCAGTGGCGACCCCCCCAAACTGTAGCCCCTGTGCGAACAATAAAGTCAAAGGAACCATACCCCTACTCACGACCCTTCGCGAGATAAAAGCCCCTGAAATAATAAATTCCTATTACAAATATACTGATTTATTTATATTGTTATATTGACCAAATAATAATTTATGGGCCAAATGAATAATAATAATTAAAATTGTTAATTTGAATGTTTGAAATATGACACATGATAAGGGCACCTCTAGTGTCCGTTATCAAATGGTTAGGCGGACAGACACCCGTTGAATGGGTTATATATATAGATTCTTCCCCTATTGGGGTTTGCATGCAATGGCGTCTCCCCAGCATACACACAAGTGTTTATTGCTGTGTATTCAGTATTTATTTTCTTTTATTACAAATTAGATGATACCAGTAAGGCTTGACTGGAAATATGAAACAAAAATACAGTTATACCTATCTATACACTTTCCATGAGTAAAAATGGGTAATATGTGTACAACCAGGAGTTTATTCCTTCTGAATAAAGTTATAATAATGTAAATTTTAAAAATTCTTTGCATATTTTCATAAACTGTAAACATCAGTGTGAAATTTCAGCTTGTTTTGAATTTGATGTTTAGTTCTAACTCTGTCAGTCCTACATGCAGGTCATTCTGCACATTAAGCATATTTCTGTACTTCATTTTAACTGTAGCCATTGCTGAAAATCCAAGCTTTGCACAGGCACTCATTGGAAATTGAAGGAGCCCTTCCAGAGCACTTTTTGTAATTTCTATACACTCACTCCAAATTGAAGCCAAAATTCTGGAAGTGAAATTTTGCAAAAGACTATTTTTAGTATCTTGTTGCTCAAAAGTTCAAGTAATTGCTCTTGACCAACCATGCTTGATTAATTCTGGAATATCACTCACTGTCACTTTTTATAACAGAATTTATAATAGAGCTATTATCAGCTTCCTCTGCTATGAATTTTGTAAGCAATGAAACATTTCAGTAACCCCACAGTTAATATGAACTTTTCAAACATTTAGCTTCTTCACAAAGCCTTTAATTTTGTCTTGTGTATCTGAAATATATGAGTTTTTCCTTTCAGTGACACATTCAAACTGTTTAGTTTTTCAAAAATGTCTGCCAAATAGGCCAGTATTGCTAAAAATTCAACATTACACATAAGTTCTACTAATTCCTTTTTCCCAAGCAGAAAAATTCTAAATTTATCATGAAAAGATGCTGTAGAACTTTCCATGCAACAGCCTGACTTCACAGTGAAAAAGCAGATTCTCATGTTCAGATCTAATTTCTTCACAAAAGTTAAGTAAAGCAACGAGTCTGTATTGGCTGAGATTTGATGTAATTAACAATCTTAAGCAGCATCCATAAGAATACCAGGTATAATTGACTGCATTTTTTGGCAGTCAAAGCATCACAATGTATCATACAATGAATCCATTTTACTGCCAGAGTTATGGCTTTCACTGGAGTTACAGGCCCCTATTCTTCCATCATACCTCATAGCTGCAGTGCCATCAGTGCGTAAACCTATACAATCAATCCAAGTCAAGTCTTTAACATAGACAAATACTTTTTCCCCAATCAGAAACCATGTTGATATACGTTTTTGTTGTTTAAGCACTATAAAGTGCAATTAATCGACCACTAGGCTTTATAGTGCTTAAACAACAAAAAAAAAAAAAAAATAGACAAGTAAATGAATGTGTGTTCACCTGACATTGGGATCATTTTACAAAACATTAACTTATCTCTTATATTTCTTTCCATATATGCTATGGAAGGAAATATAACAAATAACAAATAAGCTGAGCCTGTGATGAAATATTGGTTGATTCACTGACTTGTGAGTTGTAACACAAATACAGTATTTGGCTTTCTTTTACTTGTTAAATTAACTCTTTTCAAATCTATAGCCAAGTCATTGATTTGCCATGAGAAATGTTGTTAAGGCATTACAAACTATTCCACTGTCAAATAATACTGTTTGTATTATTTGACAGTGGAATAGTTTGTAATTTCTTACATTTAATTTCTTACATGCTGCTGTAAGTATGTAATTCAGCATGTAATTTCTTACATGCTGCTGTAAGTAACAAATTCTCAGCAATAGTTTGTGATTTCTTACATTTAGCAATTTTTATAGCCAATACATAAGAATATTTCAATGCTTTCTGCAATACTATAGCTTCTTTTGACATTACAATCTTCTGCTGTTTCAATTCCATCTCTTTTCAAACAAAAACTTATGATCCTTGTGTACATAATCTTCATGAACTGTTTCCAGATGTCTTTCAAGCTTCATGGGTCTAAGGCTGTCATTAGCCTTAGACTTCAAATCAGGGCCTGATTTAAGGCAATTGGAGCGATATGTGCCAATCGGGCCCTGTGCTTGAAGGGGCCCCGCAGCACATCAAAATTTATATATTTAAAAACTAGCAGACCCCGCCACGCGTTGTTGTGGCTCAAAATGTATCTATTATAAATTTATAACACTTTCCCCGTGGGGGGAATTTTTCGAAAAATTTCTTTTTAGTGTACATTCTCTTGACGTACCCTATTAAAACGCAATCAAAAACGCAAAAACCCGCATCTAAAATAGTATAATAGAAGCCAAGTTCTTCACGGTAAGCCTTAATCCTGTCTCTCTCCCCCGCGGGGGAATATTGAAAAATTTCTTCTTAGTGTACATTCTGTTGACGTACTCTATTAAAACGCAATTAAAAACGCAAAAACCCGCATCTAAAATAGTACAAATAGAAGGAGAGTTCTTTACCGTAAGCCTTAATCCTAATCATCTCCCTTCAGTGGGGTTAAATTTCGACATGTATATTATATAAAAACACCTGCGTATTCGAATGCAGCATTGTGTCAAAATTTCAAAGGAATCAGTAGGAACAAACAAACATTACATTTTTATTTATATAAATAGATAGAAGATAATCTGCTTTAGTTCATTTTCACAGAAAAGCATAATGCCTCACAGAAAAGCAAACTTAGGACGTCGTACTCGTAGTGCTATCTGTAGACATAAAAGCCTTAACCTAGATTATATATTTTAATTTATATGAATGTTTAATGGAATAATATACAGCCTATGTCCACCCTGAGGTTCCATTCTAAATATTGGTGAAAGAATTTTTGAAATCGGATGAGTAGTTTCAGAGATTACCTGCTGCAAACAAACTTACGAACATTACCTCTTTATAATATTAGTATAGATAAAATTCAGTTATATTCATTCATCAACATAGAAGATTTTTCATGGCAAAAATTTATGTAGTTATATTCATTTAAAATTATAGAAATACTAAAACATATCTACGTATGTTTATATTCAATAAAATGTAGTTGTTTTTATATTTGGTACAGGTTTTTTAATGTAGAAATTTGTCTACCTTATGGTTCATGACTTGATTTTTATAATTGGATTTTGTTTTAAATAACTATTTAAAATCTATATTTCAATATGTAAATTAACTGTTAATTAATTTTGTTATTTAGAGTTTGTGGGGTCCTGCAAAAAAAAATTCAATTGGGCCTCGCACCTATTGCATTCGGCCCTGCTTCAAATGATACACTGGGGCTGTTGAATGCCAGATTTGCTATGAAAACAAGAAAATCCAAACTTGGTATAACTTGTGTCATATTGCCTGCATTTTTTTGTTTTCCTTTATCAGTGGCTATACTTGGGTTGTCAGTAGTAATCCTGCTACTATTACTAGATTCACTTTGGTTTGCAGATTCTTCATTACTCATATTTCTCTTCAAATAGCAGTGCATTCTAAATATCAAGACAATTGGTTTAGTTTAATAGGTAGATTAATTAAGTATAATATATGGCAACAGTTCCAACAAATGTTATTTGTGCGATGATAGAAAACATATTAGAGAGTGATGGAAAAACATCATGTGCTTGTGGAGGACTATCACATTGTGTTTGGAGGAGTGTCTGTTTTTATCCGCATACACTCATTCATCAGTCAAACACTGAATAGTATTGCATACCTTCCCTGAAGATTTGCAGTCCAATAATATATTTTCAATATATCCAAATTCATTCTATAAACACCTTTTTGGCTGCTTGGGTTCACTTTTATTTAGCTAATGTTTTCAGTCTAGTCTAATAGGCCATCCTCACACTGCAATTTTTATTAGACTAGGCTGAAAATGTTAGCTAAATAAAACAAATCCCAGCAGCCAGAAATGTGTTTATGGAATGATTTTGAATTATTCTGCTGAGGTTGATGTAGTTTATTGGTCAATATAGCCACATTATAATTTCAATATGATATGATGATTTCACTAATAAACAATGATTCATATAATTTTTTCTATATCTTTATTTATGAATTCAGTTATTAAAAGTGAAATAATTATTCTCAAACATATTATTAATAAAACAAAACATTTGTTAATGGTTAATGATTTATTTACATTGAATTTTTTAAAATTTACTAAGCAATTCAATGTAAATAAAAACAAAATTAACTTAATTTTACACTAACTAGATTTAATTTTCCAAAATTAAAAAGTATATTAACTATATTGTTAATTGACAATATATTAATATATGTTATAGTGCTTAAACAACAAAAAAAAAAAAAAAAAAAAATAGACAAGTAAATGAATGTGTGTTCACCTGACATTGGGATCATTTTACAAAACATTAACTTATCTCTTATATTTCTTTCCATATATGCTATGGAAGGAAATATAACAAATAACAAATAAGCTGAGCCTGTGATGAAATATTGGTTGATTCACTGACTTGTGAGTTGTAACACAAATACAGTATTTGGCTTTCTTTTACTTGTTAAATTAACTCTTTTCAAATCTATAGCCAAGTCATTGATTTGCCATGAGAAATGTTGTTAAGGCATTACAAACTATTCCACTGTCAAATAATACTGTTTGTATTATTTGACAGTGGAATAGTTTGTAATTTCTTACATTTAATTTCTTACATGCTGCTGTAAGTATGTAATTCAGCATGTAATTTCTTACATGCTGCTGTAAGTAACAAATTCTCAGCAATAGTTTGTGATTTCTTACATTTAGCAATTTTTATAGCCAATACATAAGAATATTTCAATGCTTTCTGCAATACTATAGCTTCTTTTGACATTACAATCTTCTGCTGTTTCAATTCCATCTCTTTTCAAACAAAAACTTATGATCCTTGTGTACATAATCTTCATGAACTGTTTCCAGATGTCTTTCAAGCTTCATGGGTCTAAGGCTGTCATTAGCCTTAGACTTCAAATCAGGGCCTGATTTAAGGCAATTGGAGCGATATGTGCCAATCGGGCCCTGTGCTTGAAGGGGCCCCGCAGCACATCAAAATTTATATATTTAAAAACTAGCAGACCCCGCCACGCGTTGTTGTGGCTCAAAATGTATCTATTATAAATTTATAACACTTTCCCCGTGGGGGGAATTTTTCGAAAAATTTCTTTTTANTTGGACACCCCTGATCTAGACGTGTTAATCCTTAAATATACTTGTATATTGAGCTAGAAGTATATATAATATATACTTGTGGCCCAAAACTCCTTGACTTCTTCCAATGCGGCCCAGAGAAACAAAAAGGTTGGACACCCCTGGTCTAGATGGATAGCAATCCAGACCTAGAACACTTCTACTTTTGCATTCCTTCGTTTTCTCTCTTTTTTCCTCTTTCTTCTTCTCTTTTTCCAGACCTGTGAGTCTTTTGTCTTTTATTATCTTCTAATCATTTAGCATCTGCTGATTGGTTGGGCTCTGCATTCCATTGGCTGATCAGTGTGTGATTGACTTTGGGTTGCAAGTAGAAAATAAGAAATAAAAACAAAAAGAAACATAAAACAGCAACAAAAATTTTAAAAAACTAATAATTTTGGTCTCAAACAGTTTATATATATATACAATATTATATAGTAATTTTCTGAATATTTCAGTTATCAATGATGATTTTATTTTAATTAGATATAAAAATAGAAATATTTCAAAATTTTTATCAAACTATTAAAGTGTATACATATCTATTACACAAAAGCAAAACAGAAATTTTTGTATTACAAATACATACACAGATGTAATATGAAATAATCATTTCAGTGTTAAGTATTCAAAAGCTGGCTGAATGGTTAAGGTATTAAAAGTGTCAGTGTGCCACTCTGGAGACCCAGGATCAAATCTGAGAGAAGAACTTTAGGAATTTTTCATGGATGATCTGTCCCAGATATATTGGGATGTGCATCCCTAACAACCCAGTTACTCAAACTGTGGGTCTGACCAAACCCATGATGGATCTGGAAAAAGATCCCTCTTAATTTAATTAATGTCCATAGGGCAGGGAGGAAAGAAAAATGTATTCAAGAAGTATCTAATGAGAAACAATTCCAATTCCTTTAAAAATATAACAATAAAGCAGATTTTTTGTTATTGTTGTATTTGTTGTTGTCAAAATGTGAAATATAAACTAATGTGAAATTCCATTCACTTACATAAATGGCCAAAGTAGTAACATGACAATGATATCTTTGATGAAACATTCATATCATTGCTCAAACACATTAAATATTCACATCTTTCACCAGACATCATGCTGTTTACAGTCTAATACAGTCTACAATGACCAGGCATTGAAATAAATGGTAGTCAATCATTGGTCATTGTTGAATATCAATATTATGAACTCTTTTTTTTTTTCTGGCTCACTTTTTTCTTAGAGCATCACACACCTATGATTATTTTAAGAACATTTATTTTGTTATACAACACATGCATACACAATGTTTATTTTTTGAGGACTTCCTGTGTCCCATCATTTAAAAAAAGAATGAATAGGAGGAAAGCCTAAATAGGACAAACTCTAGTGTAGGTCTATATTACTTTTCTGTTTCCTGGATACATTTTATTCACATCTTATTTGTATTTATACTGTTTAGGCTTACAGGACAAATATGCCTATGCACCAATTCTCTTGTGATGTTACATATTTTTGTGATATCTCCTTCACTATTCTGTTTCTTCCACCATAACTGATTTCATTGTGTATTTTTGAAAGAATATCAAACAGTTCTTCATTTTTAATATAATAAATTATTTTATCTGAATTAAAGTTTATTGTTTGATGAGGCTCATTCTGCCATTGAAAACCAGCACATCATATTTCATAAACAATCTGTAATGTATTAATAATTGAGTACTTTTTTGGCCAGGTATCTTTAATATTTCTTTTGTTATCCTTACCACTACAATTTTTTGACATATTCATTTTGGAAAATTCGTGGAGAAGAGAAAAGCGAATAAGTTCACTTTGAATAAACTTATTCTCTTTTCTCACTCACTAATTTGTAAAACTCAGTATAAAACTTTTCTTCCATTTTTCACTACTATAACCTATACTTTAAAGAACAGAACAGGAACAAAAGTAACAAAAACAATATAAAATTACATTACATGGAGTGCAGTGGTTGCCACAACAGTTCACATTTTTGCCCAAGCAGCAATGGAGTGTTGTTGTTTTAATACATTGCCAATATTGCCCGTCAGAGATCTGATTGACATCCTTATTCTGTCTATTCATTGTCATTGCCTTATACAATGCACAAATGTGAATGACCAGTTATTTATACAATTTTGTATCTTCACATTATTGACTTATGGCTATTTTAATGATCAGAAACAAAGCAATTTGGCTTAAAAGTAAGCAGGCAGTTAAACTGCCTTCTCTTAATAAATTTAATAATTAGAAATCCAGCAGATCATATGGAAATTGACTTGTGACTCCTGAATTGTATTGACCAATATATAAAATTAATTTTCATTGTTAATTGTAAAATCAAATATTTAAAATCTTTTAATGTTTCCAAATATCTAATTTAATATTTATATTAAATATATCAAATAAAAAATGTTTGAGCATAAAAATTTTTTGTTCATTCAGTGCTGGAATTAGCATTTAGGTGTTAATTGTTGTGTTAAATATTAAATTAATTATGATCAAGTACTATAGATCTGCAATAGATATAACAAGTAAACTTTTCATATGTTTATGAAGACACTTAAAGTTAGAATTTAATTTGTATGTATGCAATAAAAAGTTTAATCATTACTGTTAATGATTTCTTCTATCAATTCTAATCCTGGATAATCCAATGCAATAATTCCCCAGGATCTTAACTCTTGATATTCCAAAAATTTCAGAAGATTTTGATTTAAAGTATTGGCCACAGAATATGGATAGGCAAACCAACTATGTCCACAACAATAAGTAACAAACAACTTATTAGGATTGTTTTCTATAGATTTTAAGTGGCGATTTATATCCTCCCAGGTAGAAGCAACAGAAAATATAGTAGGAACATTTTCTTTTTGGAATAACTCCACATGACTATTTCCTATTCCTATTTCTGCATTAACAAATGGTTTCAGTAAGACAATTTTACCCCTGACCATTTTCATTTTTGGTATACTATCATTAAGCCAAAATTTTTCTTTTCCGAATGCATTTATATAAGAATGTAACAGATTATTCCAGTTTTCGATATTTTCGTCTCCATCTGGTGTTACATTTAAGATAATGCATTCACTATCGTTATCGTTCAAAAAACCGAAAATACTACATAAAACATCTGAGAAACTTGTTCTCTGGTTGACTTTTCTTTGATAGATATAAAGTTTTTCTTCTTCACATTTACAATTAACGTCTAAGAAGCGTATACCGGCCTGGAATTGTTTTTTAATAGGAAATGTTTGACATTGATAAGCGTCACCTCCGTAATAAACTACAGATCCGTGAGAGCCTGCTATTGATATATCAGCCAAGCTTTTGTCGTCTGGAATCTGGGACATCCAACGTGATCGATCATTCTTTATATCCGGATCATATGAAGTATTATAATGATCTGTAGTTGTCATTTCCGTTCGTCTCTAAATATATCAATAATTTGAATATTAAATCTAGTTAATATACTTCACAAAAATATCATACTTACCAATTTTTAATGTAATTATTGATCTCTTAAACTATACAGTATTTGAATAAGCTTACAAGTTAGTTTCGTTTTCGTATTTCGGTATCGTTCGGGATTCGGAACTACTAGGAACGGTTCCACACCTAGTGTCGAGATAGTTCCAGTCGGAACTACTAATGCATTCTTCATTTTGTACTTTAAATATTAAATATTCACATCTTTCACCAGACATCATGCTGTTTACAGTCTAATACAGTCTACAATGACCAGGCATTGAAATAAATGGTAGTCAATCATTGGTCATTGTTGAATATCAATATTATAAACTCTTTTTTTTTTCTGGCTCACTTTTTTCTTAGAGCATCACACACCTATGATTATTTTAAGAACATTTATTTTGTTATACAACACATGCATACACAATGTTTATTTTTTGAGGACTTCCTGTGTCCCATCATTTAAAAAAAGAATGAATAGGAGGAAAGCCTAAATAGGACAAACTCTAGTGTAGGTCTATATTACTTTTCTGTTTCCTGGATACATTTTATTCACATCTTATTTGTATTTATACTGTTTAGGCTTACAGGACAAATATGCCTATGCACCAATTCTCTTGTGATGTTACATATTTTTGTGATATCTCCTTCACTATTCTGTTTCTTCCACCATAACTGATTTCATTGTGTATTTTTGAAAGAATATCAAACAGTTCTTCATATTTAATATAATAAATTATTTTATCTGAATTAAAGTTTATTGTTTGATGAGGCTCATTCTGCCATTGAAAACCAGCACATCATATTTCATAAACAATCTGTAATGTATTAATAATTGAGTACTTTTTTGGCCAGGTATCTTTAATATTTCTTTTGTTATCCTTACCACTACAATTTTTTGACATATTCATTTTGGAAAATTCGTGGAGAAGAGAAAAGCAAATAAGTTCACTTTGAATAAACTTATTCTCTTTTCTCACTCACTAATTTGTAAAACTCAGTATAAAACTTTTTTTCACTACTATAACCTATACTTTAAAGAACAGAACAGGAACAAAAGTAACAAAAACAATATATNGTTTATTTGAATCGTCAACATATATTACATTACATTTCTACTTCAGATATACTAATAATACATTCTAATAATACTAATATATCCTAAAAATAGCAGATTGTCATTGGCAACGGCAAAAGAGTGGAAACATCATTCGCACTTGTTCGAAAAAAGTCCGTTGTTTGCAGCGTCCGTTATACGAGGCACCACTGTATGTCCGGCATTTCCCGGCCAAAAAGTAAAGGGATAAACGTTAAAATGAAAATCATATTAAAAGTTTCGTTCTTTTTGCTTACCATTGTTCTGTTTATCACAAAGTATCGAGGATATCAACTCAGGAGAAGAGCATCCAGATTTAATGGAAATCTTTAATTTTCCTCGAAGTTCCAGGGATATGTATAAAAAATTTGGTGCAAATCGGGCGAAAGGTTTAAGAGTTAATAAGGGGGATGAAATCGGGAAAAGTAGGCTGTCCAGTTTCATAGTATACATTTTCCTTGGATTCCCAGATAATAAGCATGAAAAATTTGGAGCAGAGTGACCAAAAAGCTAAGAACAGAAAGACACAACATTTTATTATCTATATACAGCATATATATATATAAACCGACGAGGAACCGTTTAGTACAACAGATTAGGTAATTCCGACAGAACCGTCTAGCCAGACCTGCACAACTTGATTGACAATAGGTAGAGGGTCAAAATTAAAATAGTCTAAACTTCTAAGATTGGTTTTTAATGACTTACTTTTCAAGTAAAGTATAGTTAATGATCAGCAATAACAGCAGTGACTCCCCGCCAAGTAAAAAAGTCACTGACTATACGAGTATATACAGGAATTCAGAGTTGCTGATTTTCGGGGGTCGATTTCTCCGGCCCCAAAACACCTGAAGTAATTCCGAATATCTTGTTCGAAAGAAAATTGTTTTCTTAGATAGTGTGCAAATTTTCAAGATTTTCTATAAAGCGGTTGCCGAAATAAATGCAACTGAAAAGTGCAAAACTCGCCGAAAAAAACCGCTGTATTTTCTTCTCCTCCTCCTCTTTCTTCACCGGCACTGCAGATGCTCGTAGAGAAAAAACTACTGGGTCTAGAAAGCTGAAACTTTTAGACTTTCTCGTTATCAATGAGGTTCTGGTCAAACTTCCAGGTTGATAGGTTAAAGTTCACGGTGGTTTCCCCGTAGAGCTAATTCAGTTTTTCGCTTTAATTTTATGTCTATAAGGATAAAATTGCGTGTAAATAAATGAATTTTATTCGAAATATTACTTAGAATTACAAAATCTTAAATTTATGTGAATTAAAACTTTTCATGACGATTTTTCTAAACGTCGGTCGGCGGCGCGTTCGGTTGACAATGTATTTGGTCGGCGACGCGTTCAGTCGGCGGTCGCTGAGCGCCAATCGATATTATATTCTGACATAATAATACAATTATTAAACAAAAACAATTGATATCCAAACAAAAACATCCGAGATGTAAAAATATTTCGCCAAGTAAAAGCTTATCTTTACCAAAAAAAAAAAAAATTTCACTGTCATCCAAATTATCATAATTTTCTACTTGGCGCAACTTTTTTTTTATTTGGATAGACTGAATGGTTCCTGCTACTTCGCATTTTTACAGCCCAGACAAATTTATGAAACGAATTGTTTTATTTAAATAAAGGGGGAATGTTCCCAGTTTTGATATTTTGTGTATGTGTTAGGCTCAAAGAACAAAAACGCTCATTCAGCGAAAAAAAGGTCCACAACGCATTGTGACTAACTCAAAAGGAACACAAAACGAAATTCGCGTCGTAGCTTTCGTGATATTTGACCACAACGCGTTCTGAACGTTAGCTGATGCAACCACGATAGAGGGTGATACGATGCACAGTGGTTTGTAACTTTAAAATATGGGTTCTAGCCTCGAAACATTTCTATTTACAATTTTTAATAATGAACATCAGCTCTACAAGTTTTCTAGAAATTTAATTTTCATATTTTAAAAATTTCAAAGAAATAAAATGTATGGAGAAAAATACACATTTGGTTTTTTTGTTTTGCTTAAAAGTGCTAAAGATCAAACTACATATACTTGTAGGTGCTCGATGCACTCTACACGATGACATAAAAATCGGCTGCTAAAGTTAAAAACTAAGTTTTCGTTCTTTGAGCTCATTGCTAAAGAACGAATAATAAATAAGTCTCATTGCTGCAGAATGAAAGTGCGATTTTACATGTCCCCTTTTTGAATGATTTATTTTACTGTAAACATCATAGTTGAACTGATGCACCATATCCATAAACTTATGCAATGCTGAAAAAAATTTCTTGCCCCTTGATAAATGCTAAAGTGAACATCCTGTATATAGCCAGTAGGGTATCAACCAGCAAACTTTAGAGCTCAATTTTACTACAAACAGATTGTTGACATTTTTACAATTTTCTTTGGTTAATGTGTAAATGAAAATCAAAAGCATTAACATTTAAAGAATTTGACAGAATTTTATGAAGGTGACATTGACATCCATCTCTGAAAATGAAGTTAACCAGTTCTTTCACTGAAAAGCAAGTTAGATTGGAAAAATCATTTAATCTATCAAGTTTATTATATATAACTATGTAATTGATGGATTTGTGATGTTTCCTAACAAAAAAACTATTTTGTATATATAAACATCTTATTAATTATTACTTAATTTCTAATTATTAATTGTAGCAAAAAATAGCCCGNAAAAATTATCGAATACATATTTATATATTACTTAGAGGAGTGTTTTAGCTTTGAAATAAAAAGTTTCTACGTTCTATCTTTATTAGAACTCTATTTATTGAATCTTTTATTCTGAGGTCACGTGATGACATCAGAATTTCCGGGTCTCTTTCAGTAACAAGTCCGCCCCTGGTCGGAGTCGGATGGTAAGGAAAAGTCGGAGTTGGAGTCGGTAGATTTTTACGCGACTCCACAACCCTGAGTAAGATCTTCATTAAGTCCCAACCCACTGGAGATAGGCTACGTGACCAAACTGTATCTTTTCTTATCCTCGACCTTTAACCATTAAAATTTAATAGCATCAATGGCCCTTACATACAAATTACGGTGCCAAATTTCGTCTCTTAAACTTTACCCCATCCTGAAATATTAAACGAATAAATACTGTGATTTCTGCGAGTTATATAAAGGCATACAACCCAGATTTGATAACATAAAATACAATTATTTATTAACTCGCTAGTTCGAATACAGGATTTCATAGGATACCAACAATTCTAGTTGTCCCTTTTCCCGAACCGAACATCCGATTAACTAAAGTTGTCTTACTTAATACTAGGTTCCTACTACTGTACTATTTAAACTAATTGAACGTAGCCGGCTTAATCGAAGATTCAGGTGAAAGAAAAGAATAAGGAAAGAGGGTACCCAAAACTTGATGATGCAGGTTGAAGTGTGTGGGTTCGTGGATGAGGCTTCTCGTCGGTCAAGGGGGGCTGATTCACTCAATTCTTGTTTCACACTGAGATATTAATCCAAAAGGGGCGATCCGTCTGGTTCTTCTCAGTCCAGTTCCTTTTTCTTTCTCTTGTTCTAAGGTCCTCTTTTTCTTCTCTCACCATACAATCAAACTTACAGAGGAGGCTTTCCTTTCGACCTCCTCTTTCCACTTCCTTCCTTCCAGTCTCTGTCCTTTCCCTTCTCCCCTCACTTCCAGTCTGCCCTCATTTTTCCTCTCCACTCACTCCCTTCATTCTCCCCCTTCTTAACTCCCCCTCATTCCTCCCCTCACCTCAGTCCACTCATATCCCCTCTCAAAAGCCTTCCATTCATTCCTTTCATCTCAGTTCACCCACACATTAAAGTCAATGGGAAGACGATAAGATTATAGAAGAGTAAACAAATAGGACAGACGAAGGTAAAGTGAAGATATATATACATATATATATATACGGTTTAAATTACGGTTTAAAATATGGCGTGTAGCCACAATACCAACACATATTTCCGGTATCAGTTGTTTTGACTTTTTTGGGGGTTCAGAGGTATCAAAACACTACGATTTCAAAAACTCTGAGGGTCAGATGTGACACGATTACTATATTTTATTATAACAGTCAAGAATATAACCCATATTACATTAAAACAGCCAGGAAAATAACAAAAAAATAAAAATTTGAGATGATTACATTACTTTCCCGTGTTATACTATAACAACCGGGAAAGTAAAAGAAATTTGAATACCAATTAATTACATTTCTTACTTAAGATTTTTATAATAAAATCACATTAATGCACTAGTTACATCCTTATTTCCTTTTATATCCTGTACATTTTTCGGCGGCCGCAAGTTGTGCAGGTTCGACGGAACAGTTCCACACTAGGATCATTTCCAACAGTGCAGTTCCATAAGCAGAATTCTATCGTGTTTAAAGGTTGGCGACATCTGTTGACAAATATTTTAATTTTCATAATTAAGCCATTATCAAGAAATATTACTTTAGATGTATTTCCGAATATTTTGCCTCTCGCCATTTCCACTGTATCATCTAATTCGACTCATATGCTAGACATATAAGATTGTTGCTTATGACTATAGTATTTATATCTTTATAGCCTATTATAGCACTATCGTACAGAGCCGTACTATGATACAGAGAGACGGCATGGTAAGAGGGCGGTATAAGAAGCATTTAAGGGCATTTCGAAGATTTGCATCATACTGAGAAAATCTACCGCACGGCCTTGCTCTCGTATCTTTTTTATTTCAATTAGTTCCATTAAAGTTTCTCAAAAATATATTTTATTACATATGTTTCAATTTTCGTACTTTTCAGAAACCAAATACGAAATATTGTCTGCAAGTTACTATTTTCAGTTTTTAACGGATTGTATTTATACTCTCCGCGTGGAGAAACGCAGAAGATTACTAACGATATTTACTGTATTTAATAGTTGGATTATATAAAATAAGGAAATTTCGTACTAATCTTCAAAACTTTACTTAAAAATTAAATTTATGAATATGCTATAATTTATGCCAAATTTAAAATATTGACTACAATAAATTCAGCAGTTTGTGTGTATTTCCTGTTACGGTTTATATAAAACGTGTCGTTTTAATAGACAATTAATATACAAAAACTTAATAAGAATATAATTAAGATTTCTCACGAGTTAATCAATTTTTTTGATGTTAGTAGATTTTCTACTGCTACACGTTTTAAAAATAAAAGCCGAATAAAATTTACCGTTATTTGATCAGCTGCATGTTGTAATACTTTAAAATTATTTTAGTAGAGGGATAGAGTAGTGAATGATAAATTCACTACTGTAGATTTTACTGTAGAATTAACTTAGATAAAATAATTCGTTTCGAGTTAAAATTTTGCATGGAAAATGTGAACAATAGACTATATATATATATATGAAATAAATAATACTAACAATGAAACTGGGAAGTTCAAATTTATAACGGGAGTTGCGAAACATTTTTCCTGTTGTTGTTGATCTACTACGATGAACGGTCGTATTGTCGTCATATTAAGTTTTTCGCTTGTATACAAATAGATTGAAGTAAGTCAGTTTTTTTTTCTTTTGTTTGATATTACTTATAAATAGTAAATATATCTAATTATGTTATTACCTTGAATTTAGTTTTAAGGTAATTTATTTCAGAGATAATGTTGTTCGAAATGTAAATGTAAGAAAAACAAATCTAAATTTTAACATAAAGATATTAATTAAATCGGAAAATGCTAATAATTTTAAAAAGTGTTATAATCAATAGCTTTAGTGATTAGTAAAAGTGCTCTCTATCAACATTGACCTAAATTTACTTTGGTTTATAAAGTTAAAATAAAATTTCACAAGTTAAATGTATGTACGAGAAATAATTTTCCAGATAAAACGATCTTCGTCTAAGTTTGTAATGTTTGTAAAGAGAAATAAACTGATATTTTATAAAGTTTAAAATATATTGAAAATAATAACGCTGTTCCGATGACTGATTCTACAGTTTTTAAATCAGTTATAATGAGCGAATATATTAATGAACCTGTTTATGTATAGTTAAATTTGTTAATTGTAGTAGGCGTGTATAAATAGTTTGCAGTTAAATTCTGCTGTATGTTTGTATATTTTGATTTGATATATTTGATAATGCGAGCGTATATACGCAGTGAAGTAATTCTTTATTAAGTATTTCGAGAAAAACAGGAGCACATTTTTAATATCTTCACGAACCGGTTTTTTTAGGCTTTTCCAATGTCCGGATTATCACTTTCCTTGATTATAAATGAGCTTTACAGGCGCACCTACGGTTAAAATATTCCCCGCGCGAGAAGGTTAAAATGCTTTCCTTACGTAAATTAACTAACATGACTTCTACGTTTCTAATATAATCAAGCCATGTAAGTATAACTTACTCTGTATAATTATTAGATTTTTAAGAGAATCATTTTACTTAAAAATCATCTAACTAGTTATTAAAATTATTATTGAAATAGTATTAATTAGAACGTTCATGCAATCTCCATGTAATCATTTTTTAATTAAATTGTTATAAACTTTTACCTTTAGAACCTAACCAGATTAAGTAAAACTTGAAGTATTCGCATAACTTGATTATATATATAATTTGTTTAAAATATTTAGAATATTTTAAACATCTACACATCATTAAATAATAGGATACTGTATAATAATGTATATATGTATATATATATATTGAAATATTAATTTAATTCTAATCTTTGAGAATATTCAGAAAGAGACAATTGATATTTAGATGAATAGGTTAATTTAAATATTTTGAAAAAAAATAATTAAAGGAAGTCTAAAAGTATTTATCATTTGTTATTGTGGATATTTTAAGACCATATCCTGAATATATAAGTTTGATACGAGTATATTATCTTAAATATTTATATAAGGGATGTGTTTAAGAAATATATATATACATAGAGTACAGTGCTATTGTCTATTCTCTGTAATAAATCTTTAAAATTAGCAATCAGATTAATAAATACTTTAATGGAATAATTTTGTTTTTGCGTATACAAAATATGGAATTTAAATTTATGCTGCTAATTTTAATGGTTTTAATGAATGAAATACTTATTAATGTATTAATAAGGATTTATTTAATTGAATATCTATCGTGAAAATTACGATGTTATAAAATAATTACCGTATTTTACGGTATATGAGATGTATCTCCATTTCAGCATAGAATATTTAGGAAAAAAAAAATATTTAGTGTAGACTATTTAAGCCATCCCACGCTTTTGGAACTATGCTTTAATTTTTTTACTGTAATTTGGTTTAAAAATAATAAAATAAATTTAGAATGCACACTTTTATTTACAGTAGAACCTCGATTATCCGCCCTAATTGGGGACTGGGGTTGGTCGGATAATTGAAAAGTCGGATAACCGAAAAGTATGAAAAAATCCATTATTAGTGTAGTATATTATTATATCCCATGTAATTAGTATATTAGTATATCGCTATTAACCTATTTTGCGTTGAATTTTCATCGATGTTAAGCCTAACAAAAATTTTTTAAAATAATAATCGTCGCTATTGTAGCGCCACATCACTAGCGGACATTTGAAATTTGCCGACTAGGACGGTCGGTTAACCGAGGGGTCGGTTGATCGGGGGGGCGGATAATCGAGGTTCTACTGTATTAGGGAAAAATAGGAGTTTGAAAGAAGTCATTCACAATTAAAATTTATCATTAAAATATATTCTACACGAATACATGCAAAAGCTGTTTAGCTATATTAAATAATGCTAATACAATAATATGTTTAACTAAACAATAATGTTATATTCAAGAGTCTGATTAGCTAGAGGTCATTTGTAACCTACTGTACAGTACTGTACGTTTTCGTAAATATGAAGAAATTCATTAGCCTGCGAAAGATTGCAACTTCACTCGTAAGACCACATGATAATTTTTTCGCTTTATTCTTCTTCTTCTTTTTTTTATACAAAAATTTCGTTTTATATGCCGTAAAATACGGTAAATAAAATTTTCTAATTCTGTAAGATAGTGATAAACTTACTAATGAATATTTTATAGACCCCATAGTAAAAAATTTGGTCTCTATAAACAAATAATATATTATTAACTTTATATATTAATTATTATATTCTTTAAAATGATGACTGTTTAAAATAAGTTTAATATCTTTTTTTCAGAAAAAAATTCTTTCGTGTTTTGAAAATGGACCTAATTTTGAATACAGCACAATTATTGATCTTGATAGCCTTTATTTCGAGAGTAAAAACTCTCGATGTGATTAGACATTTTAATACTTATGGTCACTGCGATGTTTTTACAGTGCATGAATATTTATATATTTCTGGAAAAAAATGTGACAGTTTATATAATCTTCCTCCATCGCCTAATACTACTCATCTCTTCATAAATGGCACCTCGATTTCATCATTTGCAACGAATCATCTTAACAAATATTCAAATCTTTTACATTTGGAAGTTACTCATAGTAAGTTACAAGCCTTGGAATTTCATTCATTTTGCAATTTAACTGAATTGAGAATAATAAATTTTTCATATAACAGAATATCAGAACTACGTTCGGAGAAATTTTGTAGTTTAAAAAATTTAACAAATCTTGTTCTTGCACATAACGATATTACAAATGTGAAGAATATAACTCATTTATTATCGGAATACACACCATCATTAACCAACCTCGATTTGTCTGAGAATAATTTAACAACTATACAAAGCGATGATTTTCAATTTATGAACAACAATAACATTGAGGTTCTATCTTTATCATCATGCAATCTTAATCATATTGATCCGATATCATTCATGAATCTTCAAAAATTAAAATATTTAATACTTTCAAAAAATAATCTAACAATTGAAAATTTAAGTGAAATATTCAGAAGTCTCGCCGGTCATTCGTTTGAAGATGTAGATATTGCTTCAGCTCCCTCTTCATTAGATGTGTTGCCTGCATTAAGAGACTTAAATTTGATGAAACTTAAATTTGGCTTTACAAATATTCCTGTTATCAAGAAGACCGTGTTTGGCGATTTAAATAACTTAAAAGAACTTACCATAGTAAATGCTAATGTTATGAATATAACAGATGATGCTTTTGAAAATTTACCAAATTTAACCAGTTTAACAATAGTGCCTAATATTCTAAACAGTTTACCTAAAGGAATACTTCTTTCAAGATTACATTATTTAAATATTAGTGGAAGACCATGGAGTCCCAAAAGATTTACAATATTCGATTTTAGTTTTGCTTCAATGGGTAATTTACATACATTGGATCTTTCATTTAACTTTTTAATACGTTTATCGGAAACATCTTTTACAGGACTTTCAAATTTACGACATCTACGCATCAGAAGATGTGGAATACATCATATTCAAGATGTAACATTCGCACCTTTCTCAAATTTATTATCACTGGATATAAGTTTTAACTCCATTTTGATCACAAAATTACTGATTAAAAAAATATTTCCTCATTTAAAAGTACTAAAAAGTCTTACTTTTCAGCAAGTGCCATTAACACTTTCTGCAAGTGATAAACTTTTTTCCGAGTTAATACATTTGGAACATATTGATTTATCAAATTCTTCGTTAAATCTAGTTTCTCAAAATATTTTTGCTAATTTAAATAAAATTAAGCATATTTATTTATCGCATAATCTCATCAGAGAATGGAGAGAACCTATTTTTTCTCCGTTTCCAAATCTCATTTCTCTGGATTTATCTCACAACTATATTGTGACAGTAACAAGCTCAATGATGGGAGATTTTGAAAAAATTCCAAAAGTAGACCTTTCAGGGAATTCTTTCAATTGTTCCTGTGATATTTTACCCTTTATGGAATGGGTAAACAGCTCAGAAATTATCATTTCTGATTATTTTAAACACGATTATAATGGGTACAAATGTGATAGTCCAAAAGAATTGTTTAACTCTGAACTATTCAAAGTGCACAACTTTCTGGATAAAGATTGCAATGCAAATCCTGCATTTGCTGCTTTAATAGTATTAGCTGTTATTTTAATATTAATTCTTGTAGCAGTAGTTTCTGGATATTTATATAAATTTTATTTCGGAAGAAGATTGTTAAGTATTTCTGATGAAAATTTTACTTATGATGCTTTCATTTCCTATAACGCTAATGATTCTGATTGGGTCTTCAGCACTTTACTTCCTCGTTTAGAAACAAATACAAGTGATTTAAAATTATGCGTTTACGATCGCGATTTTGTTGCCGGTAGAGGAATTAGCGAATGTATTATGGAAAGCATTAAGTGCAGCAGAAGAACAATTTTGATTCTTTCGAATAATTTTCTGCAGAGTCCTTGGTGTAAATTCGAAACAGATTTAGCCCATCACGTTCTGATTGACGAAGAAAGAGAAGGCTTATTATTAATCAAATTAGAAGAATTGTCAAACCATTTAGTTACTACTCAATTAAATTATCTACTAAAGACAAAGATTTATCTAGAATGGAGTAATGATCCTAAAGAACAAGACCTTTTTTGGAAGAAGTTACGCCAAGCTTTAAAGACGAAAAAGAAAATAGTTAGTAAAATAATATAATTTTACGTAAATTATAATGATTAATATTTAAATTAAAAATTTGAACAAGTTTTATGATAAATTATCTACTTGAGGATCTCAACGTTTCGTAATATCTTATTGCACAAAACATTTCCTTTGAAAAATGATTTGTGTATTTCGTAAAAAAAAAATTACAAAATGTGCAAGTAATGCTAGTTGTTATTTTTTTAATTTATGTTTCATTTTTAAACTTCTTTCTTATTTAAAAATTAATTTTATTTTTAATTTTTTAAAAAGGGGTTTTAATTTTATTTAATTTATTATGTTCACTATTTTTGTGAATAAATAAATGCAATGGATTTTATAATTTTCTGAATTTTATTTATTTTAAATATTCTAGTATATAATTATGTGCACAGTAATATATGTAACATCTGTATAATATACAGTCAAACCTTGGGTTACGAACAAAATTTTGAACGCTATATTTGCTCCGGTTACCGTACAATATATTTACTCGGTTTCCGAACAAGCTACTTGGTAAAGTCGGCCACCGATTGTCAACTTCCTATGTTTCCTATGTTAAAGAAAGTGGATGGCCCGATCAATCAACGACAGGACTACCTATCTGAAATTCACCTCATGTCATCAGACGTCACAACACGAACCATGGACTACATTGTTATTCAAATTAGATTTCAATGCGCATAGGGGTAAGATACTACTTCCGGTTTTTGGTACGCGTCACAATTTAAATCATATTAATTAATTCATTCATTAATAAATTATTAATTAATGAAAAAATCGTTAATTAACATTTGCGTAATATAAATGACACCTAAGAATTCGTATTTAAAGATGCTTAATTCAAATTAAATAACAAACATTTATTAATATATTATACATTATAATATTAATGTTTAATATAATATTTATTAATACTAGATAGCCAGTTAATTAATTAAAAATAATAAAATGACAATTAAAACTCTGGTTTTTTACACCGAAACTGAAACTAAAATTAAAATCAAAATTAATTAATTAATTTAAATTAAAATTTAAATCAAAGAAACTGAAACATAATATTTGGGAAAGTGTGGATAAAGTACTTGTTGTCTGTCTTGGTTGATTTCGTTATATTTCATCCAGGCAGAGTCGAATCTATTTATAGCACTTTTTGTAAAGTTAGTTGGCCTGCAATTTGAAAAATATTGTAGACCTGCAAATTCCCACTGTCGTCCGTCTGTCTGTTGTTCTTTAATCTCGAGAAAGGAGTTAGATAGATAAGATATGGAAAGCTTGGGGCAGGAGCCCTCAATTGACTATATACGAACATCGGATGCAAACTGGAAGTCATGTTATTTCAATTCAAAAATTTTCTCCACAAAGGTGTTAGATAAATGATTAGCACGACTCGATTGCTAAAGGAAAAGTATGATGTACAGTACAGGGGCAAGCCACTACTAATTTGAGATGGAGAGCATATATTTTAAATTAAATAAATTAAAAATTGCAGTTCGGAATTGTGACGATGTTACAATAAAGAATTGCTTGTTTAGATTTCGGTTGGTGATGACAAGCATTTTGCTTTTAATATATATATCAAATGGATATAAATGGATATAGATCATAAGGCTCGATAGAGGCAAGCCATCAAGTAAGCGAGCGAGCGAACGAACGAACGACTCAACGAAGCGAACCTTACTATACTGGAATTAGAACACTTTCTATCCTAATTCACATTTTATTTAAAAACTAAAGATATACGCGTCATCTGTTATATTTTCCCTACGTACTGTACGTATCAAATTTGATCGAGTTCCGTCCATTCGTTCCGGAGATATCGATTTTTATCGATATTTTTATTTCACTTAAAAATTATTTTCTCCAGTCAAAAAAGTTACGTTTTGCGAAATGTCCGCTAAGTGCGTGCTCATCACTATGAACGTTATTTTAATTTAAGTTTTAATTTTAAATTTAATTTTTTTGAAGCTTAAATAAATTCAATATCATATTATTTAAAAAATTTGATTATTAAATTAGATTAATAACTTAATCTATAAATATATTAATAAATTAATATATTAACTCTGGACGTTCGAAATTAGAATCGTTGGAAATCGTTCACTAGAAGGTATCACTGCATATTTGTCTTTTATTAGGCTATGTATATTCGAATTTTGAAATAGTTTGGTGAGATTTGCGAGTAATTATTTAGAGTTAATGCACAAAAAAACAATTACAGAAGAATTTGCCTACGATATTTTCTAAACTAAGAATTACGTATCAATTTTGTCGCTAACCGCAAAGCGAATTGACTTGTATGATATATAATTATGGACCTGCGACATGGTTTCTTACACTCAGCCCGGCTGAATACCTATAACTTGATTTACGAGTATTACAATTCATTTGGATGCCACTGCACCTGCTAAGGATAAAATACCAGATAACGAATTGCTGCTGATCCTGTGTCTGCAAGTATATTCATTGACAATAAATTCCGTGCGATGCTCGACTTTATATGTTCCGAAGATCATTCAAACATTGAATCCAAAGATTGGATTCAAGGGCGAGGCACTCCATATTATTACATATTAATATAGATAAAAGATGCTTTCATACTTGGTGAAGCATCCAATGAAGAAGTAGCAAAATTTATTTCAAAATATGTCTTGCCGAATACAAAATTCAAAACTACATTGTACAAACGTTGTTACTCATCAACAACGTGTCGATAATTCATATTGCAAACGAAACAAGAAAGTTAAAAATAAGACTGTTAGCGTTTGTTGCTTTGGATTTCAAAGACCAGCCTCGGAGAAAATTGTTTGCGAGATGTTGTTACGTCTATTGCAAGAAGAAAAAATTAAAAAAGCAAAGTCGATTATGTGATTTGCCACGTACTGTACTCAGAAGAAGGCTTTATAAATGATTACAATTTTGCGATTTTGACTGTTTGGGAAGGAAACATGGACATACAGTATATTGGTGAAAAATCGACGATGTTGAGTAATTATATAAATAAATATATGACTAAGTCAGAAGAAAATAAGCTTGCAAATGCAAGCGATTATATGAATTCGTCGAATCATTGTGCTATTTGTGGTCGTTTACTGACTAATGGAAAATTTGGAGTTATGGAGACTGCAGATAACTTGGTACAATGTTGTACAGGACGGATTCTAAAACAACTATACAGTGGGTAATTGCAAATATTGCGAGGAGTTAAGTCACGTGCTCAAGTCGAAAAACTGGGATTTCACTTCAACAGATATTTTTTTATCTCTCACTAGCAGACAAGCCCGGCGTTGTTGGGCAAAAAGTAACGATAGCGAAGATTAAGATTATTACATTATAGCCAATCTTACCCGTTTTCACAGAATGCAAGGATTAGGTTCTCCTGTTTCCAGACTAATTAGAAAATTTTTAGATGGGTCTAAAATTATGTTTGATTTAACGCAAAAAAATCGCATCTGCGTCTGTAAATCACGCACGTTGCTTTCTCTTAGCACTTTCATTCTTAACACTTCTATTGTTGAAGCCTGTCCCTTTCCCCGCGGGGGGAATTTCAAAAAATCCCTTGTTAGTATGCGTTCTCGTGACGTACCCTAACCGTGTACCAAATTTTAAGTTTCAACTCTTAACCGTGCTGAAATTCTCACGATGAAATGCTCGTTTCCACGCTCGCCATCTATCCTAAGATAAATGTACTATACTATGCCACAAACCTTCGCAGGAGTGTATTAAACGCTTCCCAAAGTTTCATGGCAATCGGATAAATGGTATAGTAATGCATGAAGGACAGACAACATACATTCATTTATATATATATAGATTAGTAAATGATTATTATCCATAGAGATCAGAGAGATGGGAACATTTTGAGAAAATAGAAATATTTAAGAGTATATTTATAAATAATACTAAACGTCACAAATGAATGTTTCATTAATTTATAAATTGTAATGGAAAACGAAGCTCATTGCGACGTCGTTAAACTAAGAAAATCGAAAATCTTCAACACAAAAGACGTGACAGAGACCACTCATGCTTGCCAGTACTAGTATTATAGGCAAAATTGCTCCTTCAAATGGGATTCTCGACTCTGAAAACAAACCTAGCAGCCTCCTAGAGACTTACGTACAGAAAAGGCAAAACTTCTCCAGATAAAAAATTTACTCAGTAAATAAATTTAAAGAAAAATTACTTACGGTACCTGAGTTCCTATCAATTTAAATAAATAAATTAATTAATTAAAGAGGAGAAGAATTAACTCTTCCCTCTCTACCTGGCTGCTCTAATTATGGGTTTGGCCGAACCCAAGAGTGTCATAGGGGATAAAAGACCCTATTAATTTAATAATATTTCAAAGAAAATAAATAATATAATTACGTATCTTTAAGTTTTGAATGAGAATGATTTTTAAAAATTTTCTTAAATTCTATAATTACCTTTTAATTGCGATTATAGAAGGCATTATAAGATTTAAATTTGAAATGTAAGGCGCGTTTGTTTATTCGTTCCGAACATTCGTTTGTCACGTGCGCTGCGATTTTACTAAAAACGAATATTTGAGCACTAATCTCGCGCAGTTCAAAGCAATTCGATCAAATAATCGAACGAATTTCATATCGCAAGTGTAATTTCAGGTAATAAAAACTTTTCAAAGGTAACAAATTTAAATTACCCGATACAAAATGTAAAGAATTTAATGAATATATTTATTTTTATGCGAAGGCCGAATATAAAGTAATCTTATTTATACAGAACATTCGAATTCGAAAGTTCAAAATAACGTTCTAATTCTGGAATACTTAAGAATTGTGTAATAATAGGTAAATATGACAGTAATTATATATTTATTTACTTTACACATATATTTTTGCATCTTAACAATTGAAATTTTATTTATCTTATCTTAAATTGTTTTATTTAAAACAATTTTTATAAAAGTGCAGTGAAAATTTGTTGAATGTATTGTACAAGAAAGTGGATAGTAAATTTAGAAATAATCCAGTTTATTGTGTTAAATATTGGCGATTAAAGATCGAGATGGGAATTATAGAGATGGCTGCATGACATATCTCCAGTGGGGTCAGACTTAATGAAAATTTTACTCGTTACTGGTATTTAAAATTTTTAAAAAACTCGTTTCTAATCTTAAAATTAAGCCTTTGCCATTTTATAATAATTAATAATATAAAAGTTATTTTTTATTTTTTATCTCATAACAGAGGTGCCGCATGCATTTTCAATTTTATGATAATGTGTCTTAGTGTATCTTAAACAAAAATAGTTTTTATCCAAAAAAGTTATGCAACTTGTTGCTGGACTTTTTAACTCGTCCGTGTAAAAATGGTTAATATTATGCATATACTATATTCAATGAAAGATTTATTGAAAATTTGTTAGTGTATTGTATGTAGATTTGTTAGTGGCTTGTATGTAGATTTGGGTGTATTGAGAATTACTTATGCAATTTAATGGTTACAATCAAACTAAGGGTTATTCAGATATCAATTTCACCAGCATTTGAAGTTATTTTGAGGCGTATTCATTACGTTGTCTAAAGATCAAGATTGAAGTCTTGATCATTTATCCCAGAATTTATCTGAAAAATGTCTCTCGGAATAGAAAGATTTCAAATTTGATAGACAATTTGATCTCTTTAATGTCGGAGTCCAGGGCCGGATTAACCCACTTTGGAGCCTTAGACATTTTATTCTTACCGGGCCCCCTCCCTCTCCCACAAGAAATAGAGCACACAAAAAATATAAAACAATAAATAAAACAAAACTAAATAATGTAAAAAATTAAAACAAGCTACTGAAAAAATGGCAATCTCTGTCGGCGTATCAGTCATCATCTTGTAGTTAATATTATTCTTATCGCTTTAAAAAAATTTCTAAATTATCGGAAGAATTACTTTCAATAAGAAGAAACGTAAGAACACATTTTCTTTAGATTTTAGAATTCACAATAACCATATATAAAAACAATATATTTTTATTTATTTGTTTATTATATACAGTTGTCCAACAGAAAAGTAAACTATCTTATTTACAAATATTTTCAAAATAGACAGTTTGACCAGGCCCTTCTAAAAACCGAGCCCTATACATTTGTCTCGTTTGTCTATGCGATGATCCGGCCCTGTAGTCAGTTCAATATTTTAATAATTCCATGAAAAGAAATCTTAATAATTCAAATCTGAAGAATACGCAGCCTAGTTCAGTCCCATACGATGCAAATTTCACTAAAACACATTATAATATACATATGATGACTCGAATGATATTCATGCAAAATATATAGGCCTATGCTTCCATATTCTAATGAAGTATTAAACTTGGTAATTTTTCGGTTAGGAAAAAAAAGAAAAAACGCCATTAGTATAAGAAAAGAGGTTTTAACGAATACAAATAACAGCAGCTCATTCTTAAAGTCTGAGTTGGACGAAAGTACAAGAAAAACGAGAAAATATTTATTGTGACATCGTCATAATGCCGGGTTGCAATTTTTTTTATCATATTTTTAATTTATTTTAACTTAAAATATATGCTCTCCACCTGAAATTAGTAGTGTCTTGCCCCTGTATTGTACATAAGACGTTTCCTGTTAGCAATAGAGTCATGCCAGTCATCTATCTAACTCCTTTCAAGAGAAAATTTTTGAATTGAAATAACGTGACTTCGCTTTGCATCGGGTGTTCGTATATAGTTAATCATGGCCTCCTGTCTCTAAGCTTTCCATATCTAGTCTCATCTTTTAGCTGTCTAAATGCTTTCTTGAGATTAAGAAACTACAGACAGACGGAAATTTAAAGGTCTACAATTTTTTCAAATTGCAGCCCAACAAGAACGGAATGAATAATTCGAAGATTGGTAATTGGTTTTGCTCTGTGCAAACAGTCGAGAATTCAAATGGCTCGACCAGAGATGATGGGGCTCGTGATAGTAAAAATTTGATTTATACTGATGATGATAAAGATAAGAATTCATTCACATCCAAAATTTATTCTATTTTTGTATATCAAGCTTCTTTAATGTTCTCTATTTTAAAATATTCAGCGAAAAATACTCTAGTCTCTGCCAAACTCACACGTGTGATCTCTAAGCAATGAGGAGTGGATCTTAAATATCGGCGTTGTCGTGAGTGATAATAAAGACATGTTTATGACACGGCAAATCATAGAGTTTGGATCGTGGACGAAACCGGAAAGAGAAAGGTACTGTTCAATACCACGTATCGAGGTAAGTTAGAAAAGCAATTGAAGGTTTAAAAGATTTAAATTACGCAATTGAACTTTCACAGGCCTTCGGCAGTCGTTACGCTTCAAAATGGGATATAGTTATCAAAGATGACAATTTGCTTCACTTTTACGATTCTAATGGGACGTTCATCAAAAATATTTGCAAAAGAATATTAAGCAGGCCTTTCGGTACGTATATACGCTTATAATTATAGTAACGAACAAGTGGGTGTATAAATAATTAGATGAAAATGTTTGAAGGATTGGTGCTGACAGAAGACGAAAAGTTAGTGACCCTAAGCGAGAGTAGGCAGCCGAAGTTGTACTGTACGTGTTTAACAAAGACGGTCAGCTGGAACATAAGAGCTATTATCAGCCACTATGGAACAGGCCAAAAAATTCGAAATGTCGTTTCATGGTCACGTACAATAACGAGTTGGTCTTATACTTTGTGCAACCCCATCCCCCTTTAAACTGTATACGTAAATAATGAACTGCACCTTAAAGGCAATTCAGATCAGGACATCGTTTCTCTTTCATTCGTGTTAGCTGACTTTATATTTGCGGCGTTGGTTGACATGGCTTGGCCTATAATGTGCTAGTGCTTTACATTAATTAATCGATCTCTCTATCCAAAAAAAAATTGCAAATAATAAGTTACTAATAAGCAGCGTTGCAAGAATTTGCTGTTTGCAGTTATGGAAATGACAGAAAAGGCAACAGTGTAAATGGATTTTAAAGGCATAACACGAACATTTATTTTTTGTTGAATGGCATCCCAATATTTTGTACTGTCTACTGAAGCTTAAAAACATTAATAACAGCTTTGCTGCACTCTGGCATAGAGTGGATGAGTTTCTTTAAGTATTCTATAACAAGTTGTTGATACCAACCCTACTTCTAATATATGTTGCGGCGACAAATCACGGACTGGTGAGATGGCCACTCCTCTACGAGTTTTCCGTGAATCCCGGATGGAAAAACGGGGACTGGGTTTTTCCCAGAGAGAATTCTGGGTATTGTTGCTTCTTCTTCTTGTCGGGTGATCGCTGCCATGAACACGTGTAGCTCTCTTTCAAGTGTACTCGAGGATTGTTGTAAATAAATGTTGTTTTAGTTTAAAACGTGGTCGTGGACTTAACTAATTCACGTTTACAGCCTTCTGATAAAGACAGTCTTTGTGGAGATGTAAATGGATGGAGAAAGACGGCCAGGTTTCGTCTAACTGACGGCGGCCATCCATTACCTCCAATGTGATTGCTGTTTATTTTCAGACGCTATCGACATAGTTTAGATGGAGCATAGACCTTATTTTATAGTCAGTTGTACAGCTTCGAAAGGGGAAACAGTTTACAAAATTTATTAGTAAATAAATCCTTGCTTCAAGGCTCTCTGGCCCCCTGGTTATACTAATGGTGTTCAACACTATTCATTCACGCAAAGGTTTACTGGCCGTCTTTCAGTGCTCCATACAATCAATCAATCAGTTCTCAGATTCCTAATATAGTAGACTCTTGCTAATCCGGTTCCCAGTAATCTGGCATATCATCCAGTGTGCTCACTAATAAATACGCCCTCTTCAGCAGGTTTACCAATGATTAAGCCTGCTGAAGAGGAACCTACAGATCCGAAACACAAAAAGTGCACAGAGAAAATAAAGATATTTTGTTTTGACATTTGATTAAAACTTCCTCTCTTTAAAGATTAATCAGAAATTACATCAGTATAATAAGTCCTGTTTATAAACAAAGTCCAAGTAGACAATTTAAAAATAAAAAAGAAAAATATTAAGGACATAGAGGTAAAAAGAATTAATCCTGTTTTCCTCTTTATTCGGTTTTATTTCTTGTACGGTCTTGCATGCCAGTGCACCATATTATTTGATCTCCCGTTTTCAAAAGTTAACAGTACCAAATGAACAGGTCACATCATTATATCTATACAGTCAGTAATCGCATTAATCTGGCACTCTTCTGTACAAAGAATGGCCGGATTAGCGAGCATCTACTTTAATAGAAAAAGTTTTTTATAATCGTCGAAACTTTAAGAATAACTTTGTTTTGCAGATCTTCGATTGGGGAGGAGAATATTTGGGCGGAGTGCTGTTTTCGGAACCCATCCGTAGGCCTTCGGATATTACATTAACTTCCGACCGTTACTTGTACGTTCTTAATTACCTTGACCATTTTCTAGGTATTTATAAATTAGATATATACGTGAAATGAAAATGTAAATACAGTAGTTAGTATTCAAAATATCTGCGAGATTGCCTCTGATATCCGATACAATATGACCTACAATACACGTAATAGTCTAAATTACATAAAATTGTTCATTGTCTCCATTATTTAATTAATGTTTATCTAATTTAAATATATTGTTAATATTTTAGCCTTTAAAAAACGGACAATTTAATTTATGTAAAAAACATATTTTATAATACTGTATTTAAATTGTTGTCATCATTGTGCTTGTTTGGAAATTCCCAGTTTGTGTATTGTATTTGAAGTTTTTAGTGATTTTAAGTGTGTGATTGACGTAATGAAGCACACATACAAAAACTATTTAAGCAATTCGATGTAAAATTTCACTTATAAATAAATTTACTGTTTGAAATTTATTTTGAAAAAGTTCTTCAAAAACTTGTCAGAAAAATCAAAAGTTTTCGCGCGTTTATTCAAAATTCGAAAAAAACAGGCATGCTTAATCAATTGCGCATGCGAAAATTAAACACTTTTTCAAAATTTCGAACGGTAATATGTGCAATCGAATGCGTAACAACGAATTGTTTTATTCTGCCCGTAGTCACCAAGGCCCTTTAAAATCAAGCACATTGTAGGTTAGTCCAGATCCCGATATGTCCGGGACGGATCACCCTCAAAAAATTCCTCGAGTTTTTCGACTATCCAGGCAGTGGCGTAGCGTGGGTGTCAGCCGCCCGGGGCGGAGGAAAATTTCTCCGTTCCCTTATTTAGGTATCTCAATTTAAAAGACTAAAATTCAGTTTCGTCACAGAATAAGTAATGAAAAATTCCGTGCTCATTTCAATCGGTCCAAATCGTAGGTGCGACAAAAATATGAAATGAAATAGTTCAAATTTTTACAAGATATTATTATTATTTATTGTGAAATTTTGGCGCCCCCTAAAAGTGCCGTCCGGGGCGGGCCGCCCCTGCCGCCCCCACTACGCTATGCCACTGTGTCCAGGTTCCTCTCTACAGGCATATTTGTTAACGCATATTTTTAATCCGCACACGCCGACCGTGAGCATCGACGCTTCTGATTGGTCATTTCGTCCTTCACCCTCTTTTTGTTTCGCGCAGGCGCGTTCTTCGATTTGAATGCGAGAGAAGTGTTTGAGATTGGAGTTCTAGACGTAGCACGAATGGTAAGTAATTGTGTAATATAAACGTAAATATGTAAGAAAGAATTTAAAATTGAATACTTATAAATCCCTCTACAGGATATTAACATCTTTAAGACAAAAAAAAATGCTCTGTTTACATTTTAGAAGCTTATTTTTAACAAATGTTTTTAGGACATTAAACATTGCTTTTTCAGATTTAAAAAATACATATTTATCATAGGAACCACATAATATTATCATAAGAACTATTCACAAATCAATTATTTTTCAAAAACATCTTATTTATGTTAATTAAATTATTATGAAAAGTGAAGATTTCTGCTATGGTTTGTAATATAATAATAAATGTTTTAATAAATAATGATTACTCTCTTAGAAGAGTATTTCCTTTTCTAGTTGATGTTTTTCTTTATCAGGAACAACAGCCATGCAAGAAAGCTTGAATATATTCAATAAGAAAAATTCAACTGAAATTTAGCACATGTTTCATAATTATTATTGCTCTTATAAATTCATATTTTGATACAAATAATGCTGCATATACTTTCTTTTAATATCAATATGTTGCACTTTCTGAAGTAACAGTTGAAAAATACAGTATCAGGTTACTAATAGAGATTTCTTTTAAATATTTTATGTTGTTAGATGAAAACAAAAATCCAGTATATAAACTTATATAAACTGCTTTAACATTTAACACTTATTCTAAAACCATGTATTGATGTAATTTAAACAGTGTTTCCATTAACCTTGTTTAAATTACATCAAAACATGGTTCTTAGATCACTACTAGTCTATAGACTGTGGTAAGGTGTGTGGTTTTCTGACAGATTGTATAAGAACATTTTGTAATTTATTAAACAAAATGACAGATTTCTTAAACAGATTAAATGTTATATGTTGTTTGTGGACTGAAAACATACTTTAAAATTTAAAAATAAATTACAGTAACTGAAATTAAAACTTTCAGTCATTTAAATTATATTTCATAATAATTTAGATTAATGTAACATAGTACAAATTGCACATTCTAAGGAGTAATTATGCTGCTTAATAATCATTTTATTATAAAATAAACAATAAATAAAATTGATATTTCTATTTGTTGGTATTGTCTAATGTTTAATAAATGTACTTATTTAATTCTCTATAAAAATAATTAAATTTAGTTTATATGCTTATAACTTCCATCATTTAGGAATCTTCTTATTATCTCTGCAAACACTTTTGAAGGTTTACTTTGCATAATATATAAAATTTGTGAGAATGGTTTTCTTTTCTTTTGATCTAATTTTAATTTATAACAATGTGTACTCTGAGCTCCTATTTGCTGTTTGTGTAATGCAAAAATGTATGTGAATATAGAAAGTTAAATATATTCCTATTTTAACAAGTACAGTATCTCCAAAGTGCTTCTGTAATTTTGCATTTCAAAACTAAATAAATTTATCCTCCTACTGTATTGTACGAACCATAGACAGATTTTTATTTTGAAACCTATTTAGTTAAAGCCTATAATTATATGTCAGAGTAATCTCTAAATGAAAAGACACTCGATTTGAAATTATAAAATGAATTCTGTGGCTTGAACTCGAAGGAACGTGCAGTTTACTGCACATACATAGCATGAAATCTATACCGTGATTTTAGAACTAAGGATCCAATATGGCGGCTCCATAGGGAACATTGGTGTCTTGACCTTGTGTTTATACACCTTGAGCTTACCAGACGACTGGAACGCAGACCTATCGGGAGCAGTTGTCCCTAGAACGAGAACGAAGGGTGAGAACAATAGCAGCTCTCCAACCATATTACAGGAAATCCTCGATAATTCGAACTATCCGAGTTCGAATTATCGAGGATTTCCTATAATATGGTTGGAGAGCTGCTAATCCCGGTAGTTCGTAACCCTACTTTTGTAACCTACTTATGTATGGATTTGCACAGTGGCGTAACGAACATAACTGGCGCCCGGGGCACGACACTTTATTGGCGCCCTCCCCCCCAGAAACACATATAGTTTGTCTTGGAGACCATTTGGGCGCCCCTCTGCGAGTGGCGCCCGATGCGTGATACACCCCTTGCACCCCCCTTGCTACTGGATTTGCATGTTAAGGAATTCGGTTATTTCGAAATTTGAAGTGAAAATTCTGTCAAATTGTGATATGCGTGTTAACTTGTTCGTTTAGATCGAAGTGCCTCCATGCTATAAGATAACAATAGACTAAGAACAGCTCTAATTTGGTCAGTGTGACTTCGCTTTCACAGTAACATATTTACGGGTGTCATCTTACATATGGATTATCTATTTTTTCTCTTATTTCATAAAATACGGCAGGGTTTCGAGATTGCAAGATTGGACAACGAGTAGCAGACTGAGATATTTGTATGGCTCTAGGCTACTACTTTTCAGGACACTTTTAAAATCATTTGGACTGCATTTCGAGGAATTCTGGTTTACTTTTTATAAAACCTATCATCTGGAGACCTGTGATGTTCTCGCCGGACACATGCTGTTTACTTGCAGTTTATATATATATACAAGTAGCTGTATTCCGTTGGCTTAATAAATTACATCAGTTATGGCATTTGGCATATTATACAGAAATAGGTAAATCTCGGATAATTTGAAGTCGTGAATATTTCGACTCCTGAATTTCGAACTAACAAGGATTTCTTGTATCTAGTAACCATACATTTTGTTCCGGTCGCCATCTTGTTTGCAGACGCCAAGCTTGCAAGCAAGTTATGTTATAGGCACGGCGATCAGTGCATATAACAAATAATAAATGCATCAATTTCTACTGACCGAAAACAGTTTTTACCTTCAACCAGTACTACTGCCTATTCTCCTTGCTCCGCGTTGTCAAGGCTCCGCATGTAGTCGTGCGATTCAGTGTTCGCTGTCGTTCGCACCTCTGCGCTCGAGTCACTCCCTAAAACTATGTAACCTCAAGTACTCCACGAACAGTCAAGTGGGCTACTCGAAGCCGCCGTAGTCTCGTGCTAAATAATTA